TTCTGCCAACTCAAGGTCACACTGATATGACTGAAATAACCAAACTTGGACACTGCCTGCTATATGTGGGGGTATCAGAATCTGTGCCCTCACATACCAAGACTGACCTGTCATCAGTAATAACAGGATATTTCTTTTTTGCTCCAGAGGTGTCCCTTACAATTGTAAACATCCCAACAGAACTTTGGATTTGTTTGTGAAAATAATGCAATTTGTATCTCCAAAAATTACTTATAGTAATACTTTCAAATTCCACGTAAGCATCGGAATAACACATACAAGATTTAAGAATATCAATGAACACTTTTATTGAACAAGTAACATTTCAAATGTCAAGAAACACATGATATTTTAATTACAATAAAAACGATAATAAAAACTTGAAACATGAAAATAAAATGACCAATATAGGTCCATCCTCGCCACTTTTAAACGAAACTACCATTTTCCTCAGATATGAAGCTTTCCTCCCACAACAAACTGACACACTGTGATATAACTGCAATACTGGTCACAGAGGTATACACCAAACTCACTCAATATGTTTAACATGGGGGGGGGCTCATAATAGAGAAAATACGGTACTTTGAAACATGGCATGACTGTCTCGCCACCGTGGTCAAGTGGAAGGAGCGTATGCCTCGACAGCGAAAGGTCGTTGGTTTGACTTCCGGCCATGTCAAACCAAAATATGTTTAACGATTGTACTTGATGTTGCGGTGCGCCAGGCGAGAAAACTGGAGAAAAACTATGGACGGGTCGGCTTGGAGTCAGTATACTCCTTGTCAAACTGCGGCATGGTATCTTAGTGGGAAAGCACAATTATAACCGGCAATAGTCCAGACACACACGTGTGCATGAACATCGCTATTTATACCGTATTCGATGAAATAAGCGCCAAGGGCACTCTCAAAATTAGAAATAGAGGGCTCTTATTAGAATATTATTTTGGTGAAAAAAACAAACAGTTGAAAGTTGAAAGACCGTATATTTCGTGGTTAATGCTGACAGCCTGAAATGTTTAAATACGACAGATATATTTTTCCAGGATTTAATTGGCCGTAATTAAGAGACATATAACACACGAGTGCGTATAATACACGAACAAAGAAGTCGTATGTACATTGATCAATCGGAAGGGGTGCTAATTGGGATTGTTCACTAGCCAATATATTAGCAAATATCGCCATCGGCGCTTATTACATCGAGTACGGTAGGTGAAATATATAGAAAATCTCACCCAAGTGTCATTGGATATCAAATATATCAACGAGTGTTGATATATTTCATATAAAAAGACATGAGGGTGAGATTTTATTTATCAACCAACATTATTCTTCAAACCTTTATGGGGGGCAGCGTTAGAAATTGGCACTAGTCCTGTAGTCCTTGCCAAACTGCCCAATAGTTAAGGTATCATAAGGACTAGAGGTAATTGGCCATTTTTAAGTTTTTTGAAAGATGTCATCATCATAAAAACTAGTGGACTAAACATGTTGGTTTGTACCGCTGGGGTGGTCGGGTAGCCTAGTGGTTAAAGCGTTCGCTCGTCACGCCGAAGACCCAATTTCGATTCCCGACATGGGTACAATGTGTGAAATCCCTTTCTGGCGTCCCCTGCCATGATATTGCTGGAATATTGCTAAAAGCAGCGTAAAACCATACTCACTCGAACCTTTACCTTTACAGTAATAAGCAGCGTCTTAAGTGTAAAAAGTACTGATAAAAGCTTCAGCAGCAGTCATTAGTGATGTCATTTGATTGTGATGTCATGGTAACCAATGACGTCACAATGGTCTGCAAAGCATTGTGATGCAATTTCATTGCAGCGATACCTACAATGTAGATATTGCTTGATCTCACCCATGGATACCTCCTGTAGCGGCCAGTTTTGGATGATAAACCCCATTTCACCTCATATTACTTACAGTTTACATAATGGCTGAATCGATGAAAAGCACAAGTGCTGGTTCTGCTTTGTTAGACTGTTGTGAAATATTTTGAGAACCATTGTCAGTGTAACAAAAGTTTCGAGAACAAACATGTCTTCTCCCGAGATCCTTATGGGGAAAAAAAACCCCACAACTATGATTTGAATGCAAAGAAATACTATGGCTGCACTTTCATATGAACAAATATGCTGCGTTTCCTCTATCAGAGGCTGGACCTCCAATACATGCCAGACTCTAATTGACGCTGGGTCTAGTCTGTCATTCAGACCCTGAAACAAACATATCCTGAAACAAACATATCCAATACAGCCCATGCAAGTCTATAATATTTAGCAAGTCTCGATGATTGCAGCATCAGTAACAAACCTGCAGAGCCATAAATGCTTGAAATTTAAAAACACATGTACAGATTGCTATCACCCAACACTGACATGCTACGGAAGGTGGGACTTGAGTTGCCACTGTGCCAGCATTCAACAGAATAGACGCCGGGCCTCAAACAGATGCTGGGTTAGAGCCTTGCATGAAATCAATAGACACACAGACGCATCTAACAGAGGAAATATGGTAAAATTATTTTACTCTAGAAACCATAGTTTTTAGTGATCACTAACGAGTGAAAACAACATGATTAAAACCAAACAGGTTTCTTGAACAGAAACAATAAGAATGCTAACACATAAACAGTAACAAATTTCACACATCACATAGTTTGGCACTGAAAAGTCATCTAACCCCATTCGCTGCATGCATGCATGTATATATACAATAACATTCCTGACCCGTGAAGATTCCGGGGTAGAATAGGTCTTCAGCAACCCGTGCTTGCCGTAAAAGACAACTATGCTTGTCGTAAAAGGCGACTAACGGGATCGGCTGGTCAGGCTCGCTGACTTGGTTGATGCATGTCATCGATCCCAATTGCGAGGATCGATGCTCATGATGTCAATCACTGGATTGTCTGGTCCAGACTCGATTATTTACAGACCTCCGTCATATAGCTGGAATATTGCTGAGTGCGGCGTTAAACCACTAACCAACAACAATAACATTCCTGCTGATCCCATCACAATGTAGTATAAAGTTTACGTGTGTTACCTGTAGCACCTAACAACAGTGTTGTTTGTTGTTTGTTGTTTAACACAGCACACAGCAATATTTCAACTATCTGAGATGTTTACAGATGACTATGATGCCTCTTCCCATGGATGCCAGACAAACAGGTGACCGAAATCTCTGTTAACACAAAAATTATTAAGTCTTGCCATAAGATTGGTCGGTTGGTTTGTTGTTTAACACCACACTCAGCAATATTCTAGCTATACGGCGGTCTGTAAATAATCGAGTCCAGACCAGACAATCCAGTGATTAATATCATGAGCATCGATCTACGCAATTGGGATTGATGACATGCATCAACCATGTCAGCGAGCCTGACCACCCAATTCCATTAGTCGCCTCTTACGACATAATCAATCACGAAAGCGAATGACTAGGGATAATTTCAAAACATAAATATTTTGTAAACTTTAATTAACAAGATTAAGTCAATTAAAACAACAACAACTTGAAACGTCCTGTACCCACCGATGATTGAGATAGTACTAGTACTTCAAAACTCCTTTTCACACTGCAATATGTCCGCTTTCTAATAGAAATGTCTTGCTTTTTGAGTCTTAAAGCATCTTAATTCCTTGCAAAAACACCTATCAATGTGGCATCATAGACAAGATATTTAAGCAAAATAAATTTTGTTTTTTGACAATAACTTTACTCATGACGAGTTAAATCCATCATGCTCTTAAAAAATATTTTCAGAAGTGTCCGGTACATTCCTATTTTGGGAGAAAAGTGGTAATAAAACAAAAATACTTGACTTATCTTAGACTTGTGTTTGGAATCCTGTTTGTTTGTGGCCTCTTTGTAGCTAGTTAAGGTACTACTGGATTCAAAACTAAATTTCTTTTCTAACTTAAGCAGAAATAAAATCTGCCTTACAGAAATGGGAACCTAGAATATGATTAACAGTCCCAGTGAAAACAAATTACTGTATTCGACGTAATAAGTGCCCTGCTCTAATAAGCGTCCACAGCGATATTTGCTAATATATTGGCAAGTGAACAATCCCAATTAGCACCCCTTCCGATTGATCAATGTAAACTAGACTTAAATTAATTTGTGTATAATCATGCTCCTGTGTTATATGCAATGGGCAATAAAATTCTGGAAAAATATATTTGTTGTACATAAACATTTCAGGCTGTCAGCATAACCACGAAAATAACGGTCTTTCAACTCTGTTTTTTTCACCAAAATAATATTCTAATAATAGCCCCCTATTTCTAATTTTGAGATCGCCCTGTGCGCTTATTATGTAGAATACAGTATTTACTGTACTACTGGTATATGAGCTGTATAAGTACCATGGCTGCTTAGAAAAAAGGGTGCTTATTAAAACCATTAATGAGTTAAAATAATAGTCAGAGATGGAGGGATAGCACACAAACTTAGTTCCAGTGTTATAGAATGCTGTTTTTGTACATAATCTGCAAAATACACAAGAAATATGAACTGTTGTGTAAATAGTCGGTCTCACTAGGGGATGATTATAAATATTACTCGCACATTGGTCTAGAAGTTGGTCAGTAGGCACTCCATACACTAAATATAAGATGCAAAATATATTGTCTGTAGTAGTAGGGCTATCATTGAAACAACTTGACATTGGAATATCTGAGTCCTGTGTTTTGCTGTGAAAAGAGAACCTGTTATTCTGGTATTCAAATGATCAAATGCACACACCACACAAGTCCATTAACCTGTCTTGTATTAGGACAGACTTTTTAAAAACTTAAAAAACGAATCTGCTGACTCCCAAAAATTGAAATGTGAAAAATTATTTTAAAAATTAAAAGCATTATTTTGTTGTTGTTCTAACCAGAAATAAGTAAAATGTTAAAAGAAAATATATCATTTACAGGTTTAACAGGTTTTTAACATAGTATTTTTAATAATATATTTATATTGATATATAAATAAATTATATAAAATACTATGTTAAAACCTGTTTAAATGTATATTAATAACTTCAAAATTTAACAAATTAGGATAGGAAAATTTTTTTTTTTGAAATTGGAATTATTATCATGATTGTCATTTCCCCATCGGGCCATAAATCTATAAACAAAAAACAACAAAAAACAACAAAAACGTCTGGCCTAAGATGGGCCCAAGTTTTTCTTGTCCAAGTTCTGCTGCATCTCCCTCACAGGTACTGCACCATTACCACATGCGTTTTCATATGTGTTTTTAAATGTTCATCTCTGTGATAGACATTTCCACAAAAATGACATTCATACTTGTTGTGAACCATCATGTGGTTTTTCAGCTGCTGCAACCTATAAAATACACGGTCACACGTCTCACATATGTGCAGACAGGATTCCCTGTGCGTCCTGGCCATGTGTCCTTGTAGGTCCACCTTAGTTCGGAATCGGCACTCACACTGCTCACAAGGAAAGGGATTTACCCCAAAATGAAGCTCTGCATGTTTTGAAATCTCTACTGCAGTCTTAAAAGTTTTGTTACATTTGGTGCACACGTACTGTCCTTGTTCAAAGTGCAGTTTCAGATGAGATTCCAGTTCGGTGCATTCTGTGTACACCTTCAAGCAGACACCGCACCTCACCGACGCCTTGTTTGCATGGATTTGTAAATGATCCAAAAGATTGTCATCACTGTCATGCTTGAGACCACAGATCCCACAAGCAAGCAGCTCGGTTGGGTGATGGTTTGTCAAATGGGTAGCAAGTTTTTGCTCTGATCGGAAATATTCCTTGCAAACGCTACATGAATACTGCACTCGTTTCCAGTGGCTCTGGCTGAAGTGGTCGTCAAGATCTTTAAGGAAGTAGTAGTCATGATCACACATTCCACAGAGAAATGGTTTTCGTTCACAATGGGTTTTCATATGATGTCGGAGTCGAACAATCTGAGCAAATTTGCTCCCACAGAAGACACATCTTAATATACCATGTGTTGGTTTCAAGCTCTCAATAATGATAACCTTTGAATCGTCAGATGACTTTTGTTTGATTTTCTTTAATAACGGCTCATCTGATTGGTCAGTCTGTGAAGTGATTATTTGTGAAAACATCTGCCTGGCTGTGCTCACGTTTATTTCTGGGTCTATTGTTTCTGGTGTGATTACGACAACATTGGTAGAGGACAGCTTCTTTTCCTGAAGCTGGAAAGACAGCTGACCAGACTTTATTTCTCTAAGTGACGGTTTCCCTTTGTTAATCAGCTCTGTGAAGGGAGTTACTTCCATTGAAGGTAGTACAACTACAAAACTAGCATTCTCACCTTGATTAGTGTTCACGTCATGGAGATTGTCTGGAAAACATTTCATTGTTGTCTCCGATTGAAATGCCAAATCAGAACTAACTAAAACGTCACCTGAACTCAGTCTGTCACTTTTGTCACACAAACTGGCTTGTTCAGCTGTAATGGGTTCAGATTTTGCATTGTTTAAATATTCAGATTTTATCGTAATTTCCTTCTCAGCCATCAATGAATTGTGTGGCAATCTGGCACAATCTGTCGGACTTCTTGAGATGGTTTTCTCCTCTGGAAGACTGCTCCCCATCACAGATGATTGTTGGAAACTGACCGTGATCTGATTTGTTCTGTTCACTATGAATATTTGTCTGGTGGAGGGTGTATCCTTAACCTGTGCTTGACGATCTTGGAGAGGGCTTCTGGCTGTACCAATCTTCGTCTGGCCAATATTTCCTGCGTCTTTCATTGAATCATTTGATGAGCTGCTGCGGCCTGTTCCATCTGTTGTTTGTGTTTGTGTGCTTGCCATGTTGTCATGCACATGTTGCACTTCCTGTTTAATCTCCAGCTTGAAGTCGACACTGTCCACCATGCCGTATCTGGAACAGGAATCCATAGCAGATGACTAAATCCAGTCTGTGCCCAAAACTTTTGAGACTACTAATCTGAACTTGGCTCTGAGAATCATTTTCTGTAGAATTTAGTGTTATTATAGGGAATATTATTAGTTGACTTTACAAGCCGGAACAGAACTTTACTAGACTCTGTTTTGGGGCTAGTAGTTAAATCTGTTGTTAAATAAAAGTAACAGGAATTTATCTAGGAATCCAAACTAAGTGAGCTTGTCAGGCAAATTGTAATTTTTTTATTCCGTCCCGTGATGGGAATCGGGAACCACGGACCTTCTGATCAGAACTCGGATGTCTTGTCCATATGACCAAAGAGGTTAACCCGGTCAGCAAGCTGACAAGGTAAGGATGTCATCTGTGGGATGACTCCACGCCCTGCTACATTGGGAGTAATTTTAAAGTTTTTATTTTCTCAAATCCAGAGGTATTTTTACATTGTATTCAATGCCATAGTGTAAACCTATGCATTGAAGCCTCTGCCTCGTTATTGAAAGTCAAGTCACCTCTACAAATTTATAACACTAGTTGTAACCATATGAACATGAATTGCTGAATTCTATATTCTATATGTGTTTAGAGTTATCTGCCATGCTGTGAAAATCTAGAGAAAATTATCTAACATCAGAGCTACAGATAGGCTGTGTATTTGCGTAAAACACCCCCAAAAGTATTCAAAACCCAATTACTTTCAAACATCTTGCATACAGAAACGCATGCATTAAATGAAAAACTCAAATGTATAAAACAGCACGTGTAAATATCCAATGAAGCTTTTTCAGCATGCGTACAACGGAGTTAATTTCCGAAAGAGAATTACGAGCTAATTTACTTTCCGAGTCAAGCCTATATATTTAGAACAGTTATCATAGTTATGTACATCTAAAACATTATTTCAATTTTTTTAATCTTAAAGTGTGCACTCTTTTGGGGAAATACCCAATAGAGTGACAAATAGATGAGTTAAAAAATATTGGTTACCCAATGAAAAATGTAATAAACCAATTAAAATAGAAACCCTAGAGTAAAAACTCAATTGTTCAAAACGTTATCTGGAGCTCTGTAACATACATTCACTTAAGATCGGACCGCCTCACGCTAGGCACACCCATTACAATATGTTAAATATATACAAGCAGTTTGATTTGTGCCCAACTAGCCCGATGTTGGTGAAATATAAACTGTATTACAATCTATTATCATCCATTGATTGAGTTAAGCAGTTCAACTTGTTTCCAAATCTTGTACTGGTCTGCCACACCGAAATAAAAACCACCACCTGACAATCACAAGTTATCTCCCTTGCACATTTCTCTTGCAGTGTTCTTCGGACGCTATGGTAATGACAGTATAATTCTCTATTGAATTGTGCCATATAACTTGATATAATTTGAATATTTTCTCACTACATCTTTCACAAGAATACTATAATGAGACAGTACAATAATAAGAAGACACAATTTGACAAAGGTATATTCTGATGAATTGTCAATAACCATTAGGGGAATGCCTTTCCTTGACACTTAAAGAAATGACATAATTTTGAATATTCTAGTGAAGGAAAATCTCAATTAAGAAAAAATATATTGAAGTCCTAAAAAGAAAATTGTGTGTACATTATATTGAAATTAACTTGTTCAATGTTGAATATCAGCAGTCTATACAAGGGATCTGCTTGATTTAATTTCATTAATCAATGTATTCGTTGAAAGAAATTAACTGGATCTAGATTTATATTTGAATTGTATTATATGTAGCCAATATTTATAAATAAATGTGATTATTCTATTTCTGTTTATGTGAGATAAAATGCCACACTCAAAGAAAATACAAACTCATGAATATTCTAATCTGCACCGTGTTGTGGGTGTTAGACACCAGCTAAGCCATATTAGTAATTACCTCCCTTCATTAGACCACGATATGAACATTAACATCCGCTATCGTTTGATCGAAAGATTGCTATTAAAACTGCATGGCCCGTTACTTCTTACCTATCGTCAAAGAAATAAGACCTGCATAGTTAGACAGTTACCAGTAGACTGGCCAAGTATTAGACACTATGTTCTCTGCATGCAGAGAGTGACTCTGACAAAACAAGGGGCTGAACTTGATCGTGTCAAAAACGATAAAAAACATTTCTACCTTTGACACTCGAGTACTGTCATCGTACATATTCGCTAATATATTTGTTGCTCTATCAAATGCAATATTGAAAGAATAATTGTTCATAAAATGGAATCAGCAAATGAACCAAATAAGCAGGATAATAATTTTAGCAGACATATATACCCATAAGGATTGTCTCCCCTTCGCCATCTATCGACAAAATACTTGTTTCAAGGGAGGTAACACATAAACAACATTAGCGGGGTCATCTCAAAAGTAGATAATATTTATTTGTGAAAACAGAGTCGAACTGATCATCGCCTCTTAGGTCAAGAAAGGTTGGCGAAGAAGAGCTTTTTATGTGAATGAACACTCCGCGTGTTTCTTCTCTCGCAAGCTTAGATCGAATTCCTTTTATACCGCGACTCACTGTATTGTTTCACTATAAGGTATATCCATGTTTTCTTATCTTTTCTGGTATTTCTTGATTTAGACGGTTCATAACATGGATAAAACACGTCTCCTCGGTTTTGGTTGAAAATGTAAAATTTTCGAGCTGGTGGTCCCTCGGGCTTGGCTCTCCATCGCGGTTTTACATGTTCAGCCAGAACCTAGAAGGAGGGTTTTATATCCTTAACATATGTATACTTTTGAAAGAAACAGGCAAAATACATTTAAATTTAAAAAGAAGACCCAGTAACATGGGAGATTTAGAATCAGTGGGAAATCTAGACTTCCTTCATATAGATCTATAGCATTACAGTGAGGGCAGGGCGGAACGGAAAATACCATGGTTCATTGACTGTGCGACAGACTAAGAATGGATTACAAACCACGAGGAATTACGGGTTCACGGTGAGCCGACAATCCATGATATACCTGGAATACTGTTAAAAGTGGCGTTCAAGCCCTCACTCGTGGCATTTATCAACAGGAATCAGAGAGGTGTTTCATTCCGATACAAATTTATTTTCATTATTTTAATCTGAGCTTCAGATTCCTGTTGTCATGGTACTCTACCCCTGCTCTATGGCAACTTCGCGATGCAAAGGAGTTAACTGACTATATAAGTCAGGTCCAGTTAACACCCTTGCGACCCGTGAAGATCCGGGGTAGAATAAGTCTTCAGCAACCCATGCTTGCCATAAAAGGCGACTGTGCTTGCCGTAAGAGGCGACTAACGGGATCGGGTGTCATCGTATCCCAATTACGTGGATTGATGCTCACGATGTCAACCACTGGATTGTTTGTTCCAGACTCGATTATTTACAGACTCCGTCATATAGCTGGAATATTGCTGAGTGCGGCGTTTAACAACAAACAAACACCCTTGCATTCGGAAGATGGCGTTGTTGGGGTAAAAGGCTTGGCGCTCAACTCTGGAAGTTCTGTATCAATGGACTTGATGGATAGGACAGGCTGTGTGATTAAAGCGTTCGCCCCTCACGCCGAAGACTCAGGTTCGATTCTCCACATCGGTACAATGTGTGAAGCTCATTTCTTGTGTCTCCTGCTGTGATATTGTTGGAGTATTGCTAAAAGCGGCGTAAAACCATACTCACTCATTCTAGTCAAGGAGGTCAACTCCTATAGCAATGACCCCAATTGACAGGCATTACTTAGAAATTGACGGATGACAAGGTAGACAATTTTATGGATAACAACTTCTTTAATACTGTAAAAAGCGACGTTTCGGTATAGATCCTTATGTGTTATCCTTATTATCCACCTAATCTCGTCGACAAAGTTATCTCCTCTGTACTCCATCCCACACCCAGATCTGCGACCCTTTAACCCGAATCAGTGAACACTTGCAATAAAATAACCTTTACCCAGGTTATTTTAAAAGTTATGGTGAGACATTAGTATGAATTGTCTAGAACATATATATGCAAAGTTTATCACAACTATTGGGGGCTTATGATTGTTCAAATTCCTCCAAATAGAAAATATCTAAATTTGCTTGGGGGCAGGTAATCTCTCTCTCTCTCTCTCTCTCTCTCTCTCTCTCTCTCTCGGTTCGATCCCCGACCGCGTCATACCAAAAGACATTAAAAGATGGTACTTGTTGTTACCCTGTCTGACGCTCGGCATTAAGGGGCTAAAACAAGGACTGGTCGGCTCGGAGTCAGTATACTGTGTCTGAGTGGGGTATTCATGTTAAACTGCGGCATGGTATCTCAGCGGGCTAGCACTATAAATCGGCATCAGTCCGGACTAGTACAAACAGCCACACAAACACACACACGTACATGCACGTCGCTATATAAGTGCAATAATCTTGGACGCGACGTCAAACCCCATTTCACCTCACCTCACCTCTCTCTCTCTCGCTCACCTTGACTGGGCTCCTGTCTATAAACAGTGGAGCCAGTTATGGACCCGGAAATGCGAATTAAAATGGCGGGACCTTCAAGTCACTTTCACTGTTGTGTCCCTCAATGTTCAAGCGATTCGCGCTACGAAGCAAATATCAGCTTCCACGCTTTCCCAAAGGCAGAAGAGCGGCGGGGGAAATTGATTTTAGCCATCCGAAGAGAAGAGGGTCCGTTATTCAAGGTACATGAATACCCCCCTGACCCAGCTACGATTATATAATATGTAAGTCAATGCGGAAGTGTTTTTACTGTCCAAACGTCCAAGTGTATGTAGATCCAGTGGCTACATTGTCTTGCACTAAGAAACGTGGTTGAAGTGCATTTTTTCCTCTTGCAGATATCAAAATCCACTGTCGTTTGTGGCAAACATTTCAGACGGGAGGAGAAAAGGAAAACAATCTGTAAAACTCTCTTGAGACCAGGTAGTTATTTAAAATAGTAATCATAATGATGATGATTATCATGTGTGATTGTGTTCTACCAATAGCTACTAGTAAGCATGGTATTTAATTGCCAGTGTTATTTGTGTCTGTGAACAAAATATATATTTCAATTATTGAATATCAAACATATTTTTGTGGGAGAAATTAATGTTTCCTGTCCATGTCATGTACAAATGAATTTGTTTTACAATGTTAAAAAATGTTTTTACTGTTACTGTTTAGGTGTTGTGCCTTCTTTATTTGCGTGGCACAACCCACCTCCACAACGGAAACCACCTATGAGAAGGTCACGCCTGCAGTCCAGGAAAATCTTGGCAGATGTCCTTATTGATAGGTAATTACAATGATTTTCTCTATGGAGAAAAGAGTAGAACCCATCAGTTATTAATTTATTTTTAATGAAAACAAGTCAATATTATATTGGTATTTATTAGATAAACTTTCCCATAAAACTACAAATATGTTCTAAATATTGTTCTAACTTATTGGAGATAAAAATACTTGTCATTTCTGAGGTGTCACTGTGTGTTTATAACATTTGATATTTATTCAGAATATGTTTAATCACGTCCTTATTGCAGGCAAAATATTTCGATGGACCAGGATGAAGGAGAAGATGATGTTGACCAGGTAAATCAACTTCACATGAAACTTAATGTAACAGAGGAGCACATCACAAGAAAGAAGAGGAATGGTGTGAACTTAATAACAAAAATGTAGAACTTAAAGAATAGATTTTGAAAAGTCAGCCAAGTGCTTCTCACATGCCAAGTGCATCCCGTGTTCCAAGTGAAATTTTATTTCTTGCTGGATGACCAAGATCAATGCTGATCATAGATGAGAGTATCAAGTTCCACATCATTCATCACACCTCTTAGAACCATGGAACATATGGAGGTGGTCGGGTAGCCTAGTGGTTAAAGCGTTCGCTCGTCACGCCGAAGATCCGGGTTCGATTCCCGACATGGGTACAATGTATGAAGCCCATTTCTGGTGTTCCCCGCCGTGATATTGCTGGAACAGCGGCGTAAAAACATACTCACTCACTCACCCATTGAATATTTACTCACATGTATCCATTCACATTCATCTTCCCGAGGCAAGGGAGTTAACTGATGAAAAAAAACCTTTTACAGTCAGTTAACTCCCTTGACTCGGAAATGTTCACATTGGGTATTCATAGGTTTCATTGGGTATTTAATATATTTTAATTCATGGATCCAGTCTATTGGGTTAAAAAATTAAGTCTGCTCGAAATGTTGCTTCAGGCGACTTCTAATTTGTATCTATTCATGTGCAGCCTCAAGTGTGTAACATGTCGCAAACCTTACAACAGTGATATACATGTCGAATCAACAGTAAGCCAGGCGTAGCATGTTGTTTATGCATACTCAAGTAAAGTTCATGTATGTGTAATGCCTGCATTTGTCCAGTAAGTAAAGATGTGTAAAGAAATGGAGGTTCACAAGTTTAAAAGGCTACATTGGGTAATTATGTAGAGTGTCCTTATACTGATGGGGTTTTGAAAGTTGTCATGTGTTTTTGTACGCATACAACTTAAAATTCATTGCATATTTTACACAAATACGCAGCTTACCTAGAGTTCGGACAACTGTTTACTTGCAGCATATTTATTGTTTTAATAGTCTTATAATCATACAAACAATCACCAGCAACTTCAGGGATGGTGTAAGTGACTGAGTGAGTGAGTTTACGCTTTACATCACATCGGCAATATTTCAGCCATATCGTGACGATCAGGGACTGTGTAAATCCTGGCATTGTGGCATTGTGCAGCATACACCAAGTTAGCAGAGGTACTATAAGTTCCCTTGAACCCAAATAAGGTGGCTTTAATTTTGGGGGGCACGGGTGGCCCAGTCGTCTAAGGTGCTGCAATTGGTTGTGCAGAGTTGCGTCCCTTGGGCACGCGAGAAACCTATGATTGTGGGTTCGAGTCCCGGTTCGCCCCGATTATGTTTCTAGGTTTGTCAGCACAGTACCCGTGCTCGTGGGTTTCAGCGAAGTGGTAAACGTCTGAGACCTGCATCACTTTGGGCTTTCTTCATTAAGCTGACACGCCGTGATATAACTGGAATACTGTTAAAAGTGGCGTTAAACCCAGCTCACTTTAATTTGGTTGCTGATGATCTATAGCCTGTTTTTTTCTATTAAATTTTAACATCCTCTCAATCAGAGGATTAAAGTAACCGTCAGAATGCACATGATACATATTCTCAGTTTGTTTGAAAATGTTTGATAAAGAAATCAGACATCCATAACTTGACATGGATGTAAAAATAGTAGATTAAACAGTTGGGTTTCTTGCTTAAGACTTACACAAATAGTGTCGGTTGTAAACCCAGAAACTAACAAAATTCCAACAAATGCCTATTATTAGATAAAAAGATGATTTATTTATCATACAACAAGTGAACTAATTCTTTCACATGGAGACTCATTTCAAAACACATTGGACCCCCGGGGTACAGCGGATAGAGTGTATGCATGCAGAGAGGAAAGTCAGTGGTTCAATCCCCGGGCCCTGTCATACCAAAAGATGTTAAATGATGGTACTTGTTGTTAACCTCCTGGTACTAGGGATTAAGGGGATAAAACAAGGACTGGTTGGATGGAGTCAGTATGCTGTGTCTGAGTGGGGTATCCTTGTTATGCTGTGGTATGGTACTTCAGTGTGCTAGTTCTATGAAACCTGCATGTGTCCGGTCAAGGACAAGCGGTCACACTCACGCATGTCATTGTATAAGTGACATAATCTTGAACGCGATGTTAAACCCCATTTAACCTCACCTATTTCTTCATGAAACTTGGTATACACATCAGGCATATGCTGAACTGGTGCCCTTTGTTAATTATGATTATTTGTATTTTATATTTGTTGCGTTACCAATGGCAATACGTTGGACTTCAGTTCAAATGAAGGTTTCATTTGTCAGCATGACATCATTAACTGATAAACCATTCGGTACCTCTTGACACACGCACTGAATGCACATCAGTCTGCAAGTGCAATGATGTTGTTTTCTATTTTTACATTCTTATTTCACTTATTATTGCAATTTCAAGGTTTGTTTTTTTCTAAAAATTGCTTGACATTTTATTTTAACGGTTTTCAAGTACCATCAGTTTCATAAATGGATTTCATGGCATTTTTTTCAGTTTTCAGAATATTAGATTTTTTTTCTAGTTACTTTTCAGTTTATTTAAGTATTTGTTCACAATAGACGTATGGATTAGCTAGGTATTAACAAAAATATGAATTGGCATTGTCTCCTCAGATACATGGAACCACTAGTACAACATTGCCTTTCAAATCAGGCTTTTTGGATTTGCAATGAAAATCCAGGGTATTTTAAACACTGGTTTCACCATTTTTCGAAGGTTTTGGGACATGTTGCTGACTAGCACCAAAATTAATGAGCATAGGTCAACATGTTCACGTTTTAAAACCTATTAATATTTAGTGACATTACATATTTTGTTAATTTATCAATTTCCCCAATTTTATAAAATGTCAATTGAGATTGACATAAATTTAGTGCATCCTTGACCGCCAATATAAAACCACAAGTATATGTTGAACTTGAATATGCAGTCTTTCACGTCTGAATTTACAAAAAAAGGATTGCTAGATAGCTGTTTGTAAAAAGTCACAAAAAGGTACTTTTCCGAATAAAATAAAATAAAATCGTATTAGCATAAGCCAGTCCTGTCGTCTAAAGAAACGCGTGATGAGATCCAATTACACACAGTTCGAGGTTTGGTGTAAGGGAGGTAACTACGGAAATTCCAATTCCGAATTTGTCGGGCAACTCCGACTGAAGCCATGCCGTTGTGTACCAGTGAATGCAATGCGAAGGGCGTTCCGATTGAATTGAATCAAAATGGCGGAGAAGTTACCTTCTCAAACAAGGAAACCGCAAAAGATTAGAGTTTGCACCGTCTGTAAAGAACATGTCAAAGATAAAATGTATCGGTCATTGGTCTCCGAACCTTCCGAACCATATAGAAAGTATATTACTGAGATTGGAATTCCCGCAACAGGGCATTTATGTTATCCCTGTGTTAGCAAATTAAATCGCCTAGTGAAAATAGACAGGGACCTGTCAACCTTGTTGGACAAGCTCAAACAAAAAAGGGTTCATCTGATGTGTGAACTGAAGATGCTGTCAACTGGGATGGATCACGTGGATGCAAACTTTACTTCTAATATTCTTGGAATGACGCCGAAACTGGAGTCACCTCCCCCTAAGGCATGACAGATAATCCATAGTAGTCTACTGTATCTGCGTGGGGGATAACCCTAGCGCCTTGAGTATTCAGAATTTCAGTTAGCGTGACCTTCGATATAATATTATTTCAGTGTAGGAAAAATAATGGTGACATTTTTCATTTTAACAATGATTTGTGAAATTTGTCATGTACTGTTAAATATACTGTCTACTAAACTTTATTTTAGTAACATTATTTTTCATGTTTTGATGCAAACGAAAATATTCGGATGACATTTTTTTTAAAATCACTGGGTAGGGAGAGAGGATTTTTGTCTTTGTTTTATTTCATAAAAGGTTACAAATCTAGGAATCTGAGGTGAGGTGAAACTGGGTTTAACGTCGGGTCCAAGATTATTGCACTTATATAGTGCATGTACGTGTGTGTGTTTGTGTAGCTGCTTGTACTAGTACTGAGATACCATGCCGCAGTTTAACATGAATACCCCACTCAGACTCAGTATAATGACACCGAGCGTACCAGTATAATGACACCTTGTTTTAGCCCCACTGGATTGTCTGGACCAGACTTGATTATTTACGGACCGCCATTATATACCGTATTCGACGTAATAAGCCCCAGGGCTCTCTCAAAATTAGGAATAGGGGGCTCTTATTAGAATATTATTTTGGTGGAAAAAACAGAGTTGAAAGATAAATTTCGTGGTTTATGCTGACGGCCTGAACTGTTTATATACGACAGATATATTTTTCCAGAATTTAATTGCCCATAATTAAGGGTTCATATAACACACGAGTGTGTATTATACACGAATAAATAAGTCTTGTGTACTTTGATCAATCGGAAGGGATGGTAATTGGGATTGTTCACTTGCCAATATATTAGCAAATATCGCCGTGGGCGCGTCTTACGTCGAATACGGTAGCTGGAATATTGCTGAGTGCGGCGTTAAGCAACAAACTCACTCACTCACTCACTCGTACGAGGCGACTAACTTGATCGGGTGGTCAGACTCGCTGACTTGGTTGATCTATGTGATTGTATACCAGTGGTGTGGATCGATTCTCATAATAATTATTTTTAATCACTTGATTGTCTGGTCCAGAGTCGATTATTTACAAACTGCTATCATGTAGCTGGAATTTTGCTGAGTTTGGCGTTCTGGACCAGACAATTCAGTGATTGACATCATGATCATTGATCCATGCAATTGGGATACGATGACGAAGATGGCAAAGACCTTATCTACCCCGGATCTTCACGGGTCACTTGTCTAACTGACTAACAAAGCCCATGGAACCTCTTTACTGTCATAACCTCTTAAATGCCTTTTCAAAAGTGGCTTATATATTAGACCAATTAATAGTGCACCAATGGTAGTAATTACCCTGATTACCATTAGATAGGGGGCACAGGTGGCCCAGTTGTCTAAGGCGCTGTGATTTGCTGTGCAGAGTTGCGTCCCCTGGGCACGCCAGAAACCTATGATTGTGGGTTTTTAATCCCGGTTCACCTTGATTCTGTTTCTAGGTTTGTCAGCACCATACCCGTGCTCATGGGTTCACCGAAGTGGTAAACGTCTGAGACCTGCATCACTTGGGGCTTTCTTCCCACATTAAGCTGACACGCCGTGATATGACTGGAAAACTATTTAAAGCGGCGTTAAACCCAACTCACTCACTCACTACTATTAGTTAATAGTAAATTTTCAATCTTCAGTTTCATATCTTCATTTCAAACATTGTGCTTGGTTATCTTGATACATGAATATTTTTACCCAACAGTGATGGTAATGTCAGTTTTTTTATCTTCAGAAAAAGAAAGATGAGGATGAAATATCAACAGCACATTTTTCACGAATTCTTCCCAAAAAGCAGCCAGTATTGGTCATCCAGAATCCCGTGCCTAAATTACCACAAACTGTGGCACTTGGCAACGCACCCGTTATAGTACAGGCAGTGCAGGGACCTGACTCTGGTTGTGTTCCACGCACCGGAAAAGCAAAGACTCAACAGGTTTCTCATCTACCATTACAACCAACAAGGCCTGGTGTTGGTTTGGTGTCACTTCTTGGAAAACAAAAAACTAGGCCGGTTACTCATTCACCCACACAGCCATCAAAGCCAGGTGTTAGTTCGGTGTTGCATACTGGAAAGCCCGACACTCGTCAGGTTTCCCATCAACCATTACAACCGATCACCTCAATGATAAGGGAACTGCCGAAAATCTTACCTCGACCTTTCCAGGCCACTTTTGACTCGGGAAGCTCAGAGTCCGGAAGTGGTGAGAATGGTGTCTCTCTGCCATCAACAGCAGTGAGCAATGTGATTGTTCAGACAGGGGTTCCAGTTTCCTTCCACATGTCAACAGTACCAAGTGGTGCGATTGTTGATCCTGGGACACAGGGTGCAGAGACAGCTGTGAGGGGAGCTTTGGTGGCGAGACTTGTTCATGGAGGATGCTCAGATGTGGTGAAAGTCTTGAGCACGGATGACCAGAGCGATCAGCAAGGTCTTCCTCTCATTAAAAACGAACCAGGTGACCATTCTTTTGAAAATATGAACAGTTCACAAGAATACAACATGAGGGAGGAGGTTTGTTTAAAGAACGGGTTTGAGAGAATTGTTACAGAGTCGGGTGATGAATATAGCATTGTGAAACAGGAATTTTCAGATTCTGAGTCGTCTGATACTGATGTACCAATGTTTGGAATTGAGAGTTCTGGAGGAACTGATGGTGATAAGTCGTTTCCCCAGAGCATAGTCGTCAAGCCAGAGCCACAAGCTGGGCTTCACATGTTGGATGAACACGTCTCCACACACAATGTGGCAAGTCATCAAGAACATGTGAAACATGGTAGTGTTACAAGTGATAGTGGTATGTCAATATCCCAGAGTGTTACAATCAAGCAGGAACCAAATTCTAGTTTTGACACACCCGAGGAACATGTTCCTGTAGGTTGTCTGGATAATTGTGAAAAACATGGTAGTGTTACAAGTGATAGTGGTGTGTCAATATCCCAGAGTGTTGTCATCAAGCAGGAACCACACTCTGATTTTGACCCACCCAAGGGACATATTTCCGCTGGTGATTTGGATAATTGTAATGAACGAGTAAAATGTGATAGTGATGAAGTAGACACTGATCTGTCGTCATCTCAGTGTGATGTCAGTATCAAGAAAGAGCCACCAGACCACACTGACACTTTGAAAAATGTTACATGTGCTGATAATGTTGCTGACATTTTTCCGGAATCAGTTTCAGAACACTTTGTCAAATATGAGGTGACATGACCACCAATGTCAAGGCTGTTAGATAAACATCAGGGATATGATCTTCGCTAACTTTTTGGGAAGCAAGCATATGTAGGGATATGTTGAGACTGGATCTGATACCGATACTCATCCCCAAGTCTGCAGCAAATATCAGTAAATAATTCCAAACTGGAATTAAACGTTTCACAATTTCATGTTTATGTTATGGTTACAACTAGTGAGAAGACATGTTCGAGGTGACTTGTATTTCACTGATAACAGGAACACTTTAAAGAGAGAGGCTTTTATGCTTCGTTTTACATCATTGTATTGAGTGTGTTAAAATACAGTACTAAAATCAATCTGAATTTTAGAAAATATTATTTTATTTTTTTAGATTCCAACATCTCCAAAATTAAAAAATATCTCCAAAATTGTCTGCCAAATAAGGTTGGAATGCCTGAAAAATCCCTGATATGTGCCTGTGAATATCAACCTGTATTTGCCCAGGCCAGGTAACACTAGGTCCCAGCTCAGTTTTTAAAATAATAGTAAGACCCAACAAGACAGTGGGGCAGGGGACCCATAAGTGTTGCCTGCCCATCTTCAAAGTTACCTGCCCACATTCAGAGATCATAAATCACATCTTGATACAGTTGAAATAATGTTAACAATTACTTGAGAATCTGCAATGAGTTATGATAAAACTGAATACATAAGTAGGCTTAAAAGCATTTGCCAGACAGTTGGGCAGGTAGAGGAAACTTCATGCAGCCGGGCAGAAAAGTTACCAGCCACGGGCAGGTGCCCAGGCAGTTATTTCGGACACTGCCCCAGCTCTTGTTTAGTTTGTTGTAAGAGATGAACAAGTTGGATGGGGTGGTCAGGCTTGGTGTTTTGGACGCTTCTCATCTTGACCTATGGCCTACTCGTCTAAGGCGCCACAGTTTACACGCCAGAAACATATGATTGTGAGTTGAATCCTGGTTCATCCTTATTAAGTTGCCAGGTTTGTCAGCACCATACCCGTGCTTGTGAGTTTCACCAAAGTGGTAAACGTCTGAAACCTGCATCACTTCGGGCTTTCTTCCCACATTAAGCTGACACACCGTGATATAACTGGAATACTGTTCAAGTGGTGTTAACCCAACTCACTCACTCTTATCCCACTTTTATGGGACGTTGCTCATTATGTCAATTACTAGTTGGTCTGATTATTTACCTTCCTTTATGATGTGGCTGCTCCATAAAACAACAGCTGAGCAGCTTGTTTGTTTGTTTGTTGTTTAACACCGCACTCAGCAATATTCCAGCTATATGACGGCGGTCTGTAAATAGTTGAGTCTGGACCAGACAATCCAGTGATTGACATCATGAGCATTAATCCCCACAATTAGGGTACAATGACATGCATCAACCAAGTCAGTGAGCCTGACCACCCGATCCCGATAGTCGCCTCTTACAAGCGTGGGTTGCTGGTCAAATTTTGATTTTGATGACTTAGTTGATGCATGTCATCGTATCCCAATTTCATAGATAGATACTCATAATATCAATCAGTTGATTGTCTGGTCCAGACTTATTATTTACAGTTTGCTGACATATACATGATATAGCTTGAATATTTCTGAGTGCAGGTGAAAACAACAAACAAACATAAGAGGCATCTTAATGAATGTCTGGCTCCGTGACTTGGTTGATGGCCGATTGATACTCAATATCAATCACTGAACTTTCTGGTCCTGTTTTGATTATTTACAGGCTGATATCCTTTTGCCAAAATATTACTGAGTGTGGCATAAACAACAAACACACATACAAGCTTTAGGATGATCCCTTCTGCATACATTATGTTTGATTTTATGCACATACTTAAACAGGGCAGGGGATATAATTGACTTTGTCTATTGGTTCTTTCTAGCTATGTACCAAAATATTTGTCATAATTTATTACAGTTTGTTTACTGATGTATTTATTGTTATCATGGTTATTAAAACAAGGTTATTCATGTATTGCAGTTTAACTATATTTTGCTTTCTTATTTGTTATTAAGCAGTCATTGTCCGCTTCTAAAGCACTTATCTCATCAGATATTTACTTGATCAACCTGATCGTTGAATGTATTTTAGCAAGTTGTATCTTATTAGATGTCTCTGAAAGGTGAAGGCCATGATTTAGATCTTTATGAAGGTTATATAATGGGAGATAACTCTCTACTAGATTTGCACTTAAATCTTGTGAAACAACGTGAACATGATGAAGCATTATAAAATATCCGTGTTGTGTCGCCAATCGCTTGCAAGCGATGTACAGCAATTCGCCTCACAAGAGTGCGCTAACTTTCAGCCGCTTGCAAGCGAAACAATCGCTGGCTGAGGTCGCTTCATTTTCAAACCAAAATGGCGGCTGACTTTGACAGCCGAACAAGAAATTCTTGACTGGATCAACGAGGAAATGAACAAAGGCAGCTAACACCCAATCATCCTCAGTCTTCTCCGCATCTCCAAAGTAGTCATAAATTTCATCAGCTCGTCATCGAGCCTTTTCTATTCTTCATTACGTTAAGGCAGACCGCCTCCGTGGTCTAGTAGTGAGCATCCGCCCGGAGAGCGGAAGGTCCGGGGTTCGATCATCGGCCGCGTCATACCAAAAGACGTTAAACGATGGTACTTGTTGTTACCCTGTCTGGCGCTCGGCATTAAAGGGCTAAAACAAGGACTGGTCGGCTGGGGGTCAATATACTGTGTCTGAGTTGGGTATTCATGTTAAACTGCGGCATGGTATCTCAGTGAGCTAGCACTATAAATCGGCATCAGTCCGGATTAGTACAAGCAGCCACACACACACATACACGTGCATGCACGTCGCTATATAAGCGCAGTAATCTTGGACGCGACGTTAAACCCAATTTCACCTCACCTCACCTCACCTCACCTCACCTCACCTCACCTCACGTCAAGGCAACCAAGCGGTAGTTGCGCCTCCATTTTGGAAGTGAGCGATTGATTTGCTTTCTCTTAGCGATGCGGGGCGGTCGGGTAGCCTAGTGGTTAAAGCGTTCGCTCGTCACGCCGAAGACCCGGGTTCGATTCCCGACATGGGTACAATGCGTGAAGCCCATTTCTGGTGTCCCCCGCCGTGATATTGCTGGAATATTGCTAAAAGCGGCGTAAAACCATACTCACTCACTCACTCTAAGCGATTCGTGGCTTGCAACGCGCCCTGGTCTGACCTCTGGGTGTTGCATATTTAACTTGGTTTGAACATATTTATATTTCATCACATCTAGAATGAAATGGGGATTAGTAAACAAGCAACAATGCTTATATTGATACCGCTCCCAATGATTACATAGATACATATACAGTTTAAATACATAAATTAAATATATATAAAAAGTACAGATATCATGTGACAATATAAAAGAAGGTATGATTAATAAACAGCTCATGTACCACCAACATAGTTGCCATTACGATAAAAGACTAAGTGAAGGATTACTTCCATGAACACTTTCGCTGTTAACATACACACTGTTATAGAAGACTATACACCCACCCACCCCCCCCCCCCCCCACCCCCCCCACCCCACCCCCACCCCCACCCCCACCACCCCCCCCTCTGTCTGGGCTGCATGTAGAGGGAGCAATGGCCCTGAGCTGATGATGAGCCTAACCAGCCTGACTGTGCCAGGATTACCCAAACCCTCCCAAACGCATTTTTTATTTTAATCTGTAAATAATGATAATAATCAAGGTCATTTGTATTGCGCATATTTCCACACGACACAGGGGCATGTCCCGGTCAATTGATCAGGGTGTAGTCAACAATCATTCTCAGCTCCTTGGGGAATATACAACCCAAGCTGCCTACGAGGCGCTGGAAGGTTATCAACCACATTGCAATCTCATCCTACCCGGTACTCATACACTCCTGGATGAACAGAGGCACATTTCGAACAAAGTCACTTGCTCAAGGCGAAACCACACGTGTTACATATGCTTCAGTGAGGGCCTCTCATTACCCTTGTCTCAATCATAGACCGCCTCGTGGGATAGTGGATGGCGGTCTACCCGGAGAGCTGGAGTTCGATGGTTCGATCCCCGGCCGCGTCTTACTAAAAGATGTTAAAATATGGTACTTGTTGTTACCTTGCCTGACGTTCGGTATTAAGGGGATAGTCATCTTTGAGTTGGTATATTGCCTCTGAGGGGATATCTATGTTAAACTAACACATGTTAGTGCAATAATCTTTAATCATTAAGGGGCTAAAACAAGGAATGTTCGGCTCGGAATCAGTATACTATGTCTGAGTGACGTTAAACGCCATTTGGGGCGGTCGGGTAGCCTAGTGGTTAAAGCGTTCGCTCGTCACGCCGAAGATCCAGGTTCGATTCCCGACATGGGTACAATATGTGAAGCCCATTTCTGGTGTCCCCCGCCGTGATATTGCTGGAATATTGCTAAAGGCGGCGTAAAACCATACTCACTCACTAACTCACTTAAACGCCATTTCATCTCACCGACCTCTTATTAATGACGTCAATTCCTGATTAGAATAGATCCCTAGCAACCTATGCTGGTCGTAAGAGGCAAGTAAATGAACGAGGAAGTCTGGCTCCGTGACTTGGTTGATTCCGTGTCCTCGTACCCCGACAGCGTAAATCGTTGCTTATAATATCGATCATTGGTCGATTAGCTACAGACTGTCCTCATATAGCTGAAATAGTGCGGCGCTAAACAACAAATAAAATCGAGCCCTAAAGAAGGCCTTTCGCCTTTTTTCACTTTTTACGATTTATTTCAGAAACTTCGCCCGATTTGCTGTCCCAATCAACTGTGCAGTTGCTGCTAGGAGGCAGATAGTGGACTTGTGTCATGATTATAGAATTAAAGATAGCCAGTGTTTGTTCATTTATAGTAGAGATTTCTGTAGAGATCACTTTCGTTTTAGATTTATAATATTTCGATGGAATTGTCGATCATCTTCAATACTCCTCCGGACCGCCTCCGTGGTGTAGTGGAGAGATGCCCGGAGAGCGGAAGGGCATGGGTTCAAAAGACGTTAAAAGATGGTACTTGTTGTTACCCTGCCTGGCGCTTGGCATGAAGGGATAACACAAGGACTGGTCGGCTTGTAGTCAGTATACATGTGAGAATGTAGAAGAGTGCTCCGTATACCTGCATGAGAATACCGCAGAGTGTTCTCTATTCCTACACGTGAGAACTATTCAAGGGTAGACCTCTGTGAATGCTTCACAATTCTCATAGACCAATCTATAGCCTTTATGGTAGTGGGTGTGAATAAATGTTCTTTTCTTATTACTGTCTCGGCGTCGATTCGTTAAACTTATCCGCGAGAGTATAGTGAGTGAGTGAGTTGAGTTTTAACGCCGCTTTTAACGGTATTCCAGTTATATCGCGGCGTGTCAGCTTAATGTGGAAGGAAAGCCCGAAGTGATGCAGGTCTCAGACGTTTACCACTTCGGTGAAACCCACGAGCACGGGTATGATGCTGACAAACCTAGAAACATAATCGGGGCGAACCGGGATTCTAACCCACTATCATAGGTTTCTGGCGTGCCCATGGGACGCAACTCTGCACAGCGAATCGCGGCGCCTCATATTTTTTTTATATGCGTCGGCCTGGAAATAATCGATTCTGAACAAGACAATCCAGGGAGTGATATCATGAGCATCGATCCACTCAATTGGGATATCAACCAAGTCAACGCGTCAGACCACCCGATCCATTTATTTGCCTCTTACGACAAGCATATGTTGTTGGGGCCTGCAGATATTCGTACCCAGAGTCCTCACCAGAAAGAGACACGTGAAGATTCCGGGATAGAATAGGTCTTCAGCAACCCATACTTGCCGTAAAAGGCGACTATGCTAGTCGTAAAAGGCGACTAAGGGGATCGGGTGGTCAGGCTTCCTGACTTGGTTGATGCATGTCATCGATCCCAATTGCGTGGATCGATGCTCATGATGTCAATCACTGGATTGTCTGGTCCAGACTCGATTTTTTTGCAGACCGCCGTCATATAGCTGGAATATTGCTGAGTGCGGCGTTAAACAAAAAACCAACCAACCAACCACCAGAAAGAAACATGAAGATGCGGCAGCATCCACTGGGGCAGGTGAATGATGAAGGCCCGAGAAACAAACGTTTATATAGCCAATGTGGTCAAGGCATTAGAAGTTTAGAGTGAGTGAGTGAGTTGGGGTTTACTCCGCTTCGCCTAGTGTATCCATGTTGGGAACGGAAACCGGGCATGACGTGCGAACGCTTTAACCACAAAGCTACCCTACTGACCTTTAAAGGTTTAGAGGTGTACTGGCAATCGGTAAGTACTTTGACAATAACTCTTGTAGCGTAAGCTATTGCACAGACTTACAATATTTTCAAATTATTTTGAATCATCAGTGGTACAATTGATGATGCCGCCTTGCGCTGAAAACAGTTCATTCATTTCCCCATGTGTGAAACCCGTCCATCCATCTTCCGCTTTTAAATGGTAAAACGTAACAATAAATCTAACTTGGAACATCAATGGCGACCAAGGGCAATAGTGTGAGTGAGTGAGTGAGTGAGTTCGGTTTAACGCCGCTTTTAACAGTATTCCAGTTATATCACGGCGTGTCAGCTTAATGTGGGAGGAAAGCCCGAAGTGATGCAGGTCTCAGACGTTTACTACTTCGGTGAAACCCACGAGCATGGGTATGGTGCTGACAAACCTAGAAACATAGGAAATCTAGGAAATCCAGGGCAACCGCTCCCCTACCTACCGCCTACTCGCGGTGTCAGGGTGAATGTCAGATCACAAGAACCCACGGCATTGAAATATGATTATTCCAATTATTGCACGGCGTGAATGAATGAATGAGTGAGGTTCTGGGGAAGTGTATTTCTTATTATGTACGTTTTAGAATAAACTAAGTATTATTTAGTGTTGTAGATATTCTACTTAATACGACCGCCTCCGTGGTCTAGTGGTAGAGCGTCCGCCCGGAGAGCGGAAGATCCGGGGTTCGATCCCCGGCCGCGTCATACCAAAAAACATTAAAAGATGGTACTTGTTGTTACCCTGTCTTGCGCTCGGCATTAAGGGGTTAAAGCAAGGACTGGTCGGCTCGGAGTTAGTATACTGTGTCTGAGTGGGGTATTCATGTTAAACTGCGGCATGGTATCTCATTGGGCTAGCACTACAAATCGGCATCAGTCCAGTCTAGTACAAGCAGCCACACACACACGTGCATGCACGTCGCTATATACGAGGGGTGTTCATTAAAGATTTACCCTAAACCACTTAGGGTTATCATATTTGGTTGAAATTCCACATGTGTAATGATACATGTATCCATGGGTTATGTCTGAATTTGCAGCACCGACCTATTAATCTTTCCACTTTTACAGGTGTTATGATCGAGTAGGGTGTGACAATGGAGCCAGTAGAATACCGAGCAGTGATTAGGTTTTTATATTTGAAAGGTCGCACACCAAAAGAAACTTTCGATGAAATGAAAGCAACTTGTGGGGAAGATGCCCCATAATATGACGTTGTTAAACACTGGCATCGCCAGTTCAAGTGTGGTCGGACATCTGTGGAAACAGCTGCCATTCCTGGTCCAGAGAAGGCACGTGTCCAACCCTCTGCAGGCAAGGTCATGCTCACGGTGTTTTGGACCCAGCACGGAGTAGTGATGATGGATTTCTTGGCAAAGGGTACCACAATTACAGGAGCTTATTATGCTTCACTGCTGCGGAAATTGCGGGACGCTATCAAGCTTAAGAGGCGTGGCATGCTGACCAAGGGTGTCCGTCTCTTGCAAGACAATGCTCCAGTACACAACTCTCATGTTGCCCAGAGAGAAGCGCGGTCCTGTGGCTATGAAATCCTTCCACATCCTCCTTACTCTCCTGACCTTGCACCATCTGACTTCAACCTCTTTCCAACCATGAAGTCATTTTTGAAGGGAAAACGTTTCACAGTTGATGAAACACTGATTTCTGAAGTCAAGTCCTGGTTTGAGACGCAAAATGAGGGCTTTTACAAGCGAGGTCTCCATAGTTGTATAAAACGATGGGAGAAGTGTGTAACTCTTGGTGGTTCCTATGTGGAGAAAGACTAATACCTATGCCAAGTTTCATTCTCCTAGGTCCATCGGAAGTGAGTTAGGGGAAATCTTTAATGAACACCCCTCGTAAGTGCAATAATCGACGTTAAACCCAATTTCACCTCACCTCGCCTCCTACTTAATATGCCGACAGTCTCTGGCTATGTTTAGCAATGCACTGCCTATGAGTGTGTATGTATATATAAGGCTCATAGAGATTCTGAAGCGATAATATATAGGCATTGAAACAATTTCAGACAGATGTTTTTATGCAGCAAAATACAACAATTATAAACACTTAATAAAAAATAGAGTTTCAGAGGCGGTAATTCCGAAGAATCAATTGGCCATTCTATGATATTTGAAATAACGTGTACTTGACGTTATATAGCATTATAACCTTGATTAAATTTGCGTTAAGTGTAAATTATATAAGTTAACACATCATAATGTCAACCATGACAGCAATAGCCGGCTATGCGTTTGACCTTTCAGGTCGGTAATGGAGGTATAAAGACCGCTAGACACTGGGGACGTGAATAGGGAAGCGCCACAACAATGTTGCCAAACATTTTCCTGCTCGCCATTTCTGCATTGGGTGAGTTCAAGATTTATATTATTTTTAGACATCTTTTATTAGAAATATCGGACTGGTATGGGGCCTGATGCATCCCCAAATAACAATTTGAGAGAACTATTCCGAGTTTGCCTTTAACGGCAAGCATGTGTTGCTGCAGACCTATTCTAGCCCGGATCTTCACGGGGTTCCAAGTTTGTACAGATTATTTAGACATTCTAAGTCATTGGGCGTTATACAACATCAAAGTACAAATTGGATGGATTATATTTTTGTAAGTTTGTACACGTGATTAGGTCATTCCAACTCGGCCTGGGGCGTTACACATAATAAAACATACTCTGAGTGCAATGTGACCGCCTCCGTGGTCTAGTGGTAGAGCGTCCGCCCGGAGAGCGGAAGGTCCGGGGTTCGATTCGTTAAAATATGGTACTTGGTGTTACCCTGTCTGGCGCTCAGCATTAAGGGGCTAAAACAAGGACTGGTCGGCTCGGAGTCAGTATACTGTTGAGTGGAATATTCATGTTAAACTGCGGCATGGTATCTCAGTGAGCTAGCACTATAAATCGGCATCAGTCCGGACTAGTACAAGCAGCCACACAAACACACACACGTGCATGCACGTCGCTATATAAGTGCAATAATCTTGGACGCGACGTTAAACCCAATTTCACCTCACCTCACCTGAGTGTAATGTTCCAAGTTTGTTCACGTGATTTAATCAACAGCATTGAGCGTTTTCATTATCACATTACATATTTAGTGTGATTTTACAGGTTTTTACAGGTGAAATAGTTATAATCTGTCGATATGGAACGCTACATATAATCAAATACCACACTACACATGCATACCAAGGTATCTTTCGCTCACTACTAGAAACCCTGTCATGTGCAATAAATAAATTAACTCAATCTTAAGAAAGCCTGCCACTAATTCATTCAATTACATGACTGATTTCACTACAGTTCCAAAACCAAGTAAAGTATTGTGCAACAACTGGTTACGTTATCACTACAGTTCCAAAACCAAGTGAAGTATTGTGCAACAACTTGTTTCGTTATCAGTACAGTCAAAAACAAAGTTCACGCCGAAGACCCGGGTTCGATTCCCGACATGGGTACAATGTGTGAAGCCCATTTCTGGTGTCCCCCGCCGTGATATTGCTGGAATATTGCTAAAAGCGGCGTAAAACCATACTCGCTCGCTCGCTCGCTCGCTCGCTCAAAAACAAAGTGAAGTATTGTGCAACAACTGATTTCGTTATCACTACAGTTCCAAAATAAAGTTAAGCATTGTGCTACAACTGGTTTCGTTATCAGTACAGTTCCAAAACAAAGTGAAGTATTGTGCAACAACTGGTTTCGTTATCACTACAGTTCCAAAATAAAGTTAAGCATTGTGCAACAACTGGTTTCGTTATCACTACAGTTCAAAAACAAAGTGAAGCATTGTGCTACAACTGATTTCGTTATCAGTACAGTTCCAAAGAAAAGTGAAGTATTGTGCAATAACTAGTTTAATTTTCACTGCAGTTATAACATTACATGAGGTACTTTACAACATCAAGTTCAATTAGCATGGCAGCTAGATCATTAGTAATTCACTAGCCCATAAGGTCACACCAAGAAGGTTAACAACAGGAAGGGTGTGATTTTGTCGAAGTAATTACCTTGCTGAATTGTTTAGTATTTCAGAAATCCTGCATCAGATCCAGATCAAGATAGTTTATTGTATTCAAGGCCTCCGGACAATAGACAAGATATTATATACATGCATTCGTCAAATTGTACATACATGTGTGTCAATTTGAGGTCAACAATTATTTTCTCAATAGTAAGTTTGTGCAAAGAAGTTCCCATTGTAAGTAAATAGCAGAGATGTAATTTGTTCCTCAAATCATTGAAGAATTCACACAGAATCTTCTTTACCATACATACATGTCAGAATGATGAGATCTGATTTGTCCACGTGATCTTGATAAAATACTTGTATGCCGCCGCGAGTAATACAGGCTGCACGTGGATTTCTGAGAGGCAGAATGAATCCGTTATATCCAGCTTCGAAGCAAAAACCTGCAGGCTTGTTCTGAGTCAATGAAAGTCACTAATATAGCAAAAGCCGCTCAATCGCACTGCTGTTTTCTAGCAATTTTGACATTGTTATTTTACAACTTGGCTTCGGACATGTGCGGAATTTCAAGGTGCTTGTGATCCTCAATATTTAATAAGTGAGTTTATACTGAGGGTTATGCATTGTACAAACATGGTATTCTGAAGTGTCTGGATGCTCGAAATTAGAACTGTATTCATTATTTAAGACATCGTTATCATTGAACCGTATCTATTAAATGTATTACCCTTTTACTTATTGGAGAACTGGGAATTATGCATAACACAGAAAGGAGGGATGGCATCGATAAGACACTCCGGTTTTGTCCATTGTGCAAGTTAAGGGCAGTTGATTCATTCTTGTTTGCCCTATTTATGAAGATATATATTTCCCACATTTAGACTTTATTACTGTAATAATCTTAAAGACATACTGCTTAGAATGTTAAACTCTTCTGATGTAAACTGTCTTGAGAACTTAGCCAATTATGTTAAAGATGCTATCTGTCTTCGTTCTTCTTACCTGTAAATATTATTTCATGCAGCACTTGAGGCCTTATTACCGAATAATCTGATTGATTGATTGATTGACTGATTGATTAACTTTCCAGTGATAGCTCCTTCATGAAAAGACAAACAGATTGGTCTTCGCCACGTCAGCGTACACGTGATGACACACAAGCATATATTGTTTGTACCATTGTCAACCTGTTCACATTTAAGCCGACTCGCTGTAAACAGTGCCACATTTTTGGACTATTAACGGACTCGAACGCTCTCTGAAGTCGGCAAAGGCTGCAGAGATTTTACATTTTCTTCGGATACAATATTTTTTAATATAGGCCAAGGTATGATCTGCAGTGGATTAACCCCTTCTACACACTGCTTGTTTTCCTGTGTTTTATCGCGTATGTTCCCAGAGTGTTAACCAATCATTTAAAACAGGGGATATCAGATAGCCCTGTAATTGTCAAGTGGATTGACGCCACCCTTCTCACTGATTGCGAAATTACTGTTTTGATATTATTTAATGCACGAGACAATGGTAGCAGTAAGTCTTTAGATTACTTCATTCATCTCAACTAAGATGTGGTCTGGATAGTTTTTCGTACTATACGAGTCCATTCGGTATAATTGCACTATTGCCAGTTCATGTCCAGTCATTGTTAAGAATCAAACCCCAAAGCCTGAATCATTTGTTATTACTGTCAAACTAGACATCCAGGCAATTGCTTTGTGGCAGCTTAAGACGACTGTAACTCTCAGTATAACCGATATGATATTTGCGTTATTACAATTTGTATAAACCATAAGCTATTTGCGTTATTACAATTGGTATAAACCATAAGCTATTTGCGTTATTACAATTTGCATAAACCATAAGCTATTTGCGTTATTACAATTTGTATACACCATAAGCTATTTTCGTTATTACAATTTGTATACACCACGTGAATAGCCGATGTTCCTCTACCTTTGGTCAGGAAGCTGACACTGGGGACGTTGAGAATATACTCATTACGTTTATAACTCTTATATTTCTGGTGTCCCCCGCCGTGATATTGCTGGAATATTGCTAAGAGCGGCGTAAAACCATACTCACTCACTCACTATAACTGTTATGCTTTTAGAATTCCATATTATTTCTGCCCGTTGTAATTCATCCGTGATATTTTCTATCGATTCATACATATGTTGTGGTTATTGACAGAATAACTCTGTTTACCATGTGATTCGGACATACAAGAAACATGCCGCGTCACATTAATAGTTTCAGGTGTACACGTAGAAAGAGATCGCAACGAGATGATGATACATTTTCAATATTGTCGATAATCAATATGTTTGGGTGTTTTCGATGCAAATTTAACATTCAATATGGCATTGCATATTCATTAACACACGACAAACATTCAACATGTAATCCTTCGACTTTATTTAGGTTCGGGCGTGAAGAGAGACGTTTCCAGATCTGGATCATGTTCCCATGGTGATATCCAAAGAGTAGAGAGATGCTTAGAAGTTGTGTACTCCGTTTTGGACGAATCGCCTATAATATGCGGGTAAGTATCCAGACAATCTTGAAAAGCACGATATTATCACAAATACCTATGGTTCATTCTGGCGTCATTGTACCTTTCATGACGTCATCAAACAATGGGAAAGAAACGGGTGGTGCGTGTGAAAATATTGACACCCCACCCCTATGGTATCTAAAGTATGTGTGGCAATACAACTAGGAAAGCAACCCCAGTGTATGTATTATTAACTTCAAAACACATTCTAAAGTTTATTATTTCATTTGTTTTAATTTAAAAGAGCCACTGATTTATACTGTGAGTGCACCTATTTATGCCCGTTACGTATATGAAAATGAAACTTTGTTATTTGACAAATCATCCAAAATATTGTAGGAAACAATAAGCTGCACGCATCTTTTCACATTTTCCAAATGAAACTATTGATTGTTGATGGGCAACTCGTGACAGTTCTACATCGGGATATAAAGGAATAGTTTCCCATAGTTAGGAATAACGGGACTCTGCTTTGCCTCCTTTGTTCTCACAGTTGTAACTCCATATCCTGATAAAATACTGTCACTCATCCTCTATTTATTACTTCAATGTTGACAGGGACGTGACACGTGCCATAAACTGTGTGACTTCGACCATCGAGCGATGTCCTCACATAGGCGGACCCCTGTTACTTGCAGAAATTGACAAAATCCGCCCTCACTTAATGGAAGTCTGTAAGTAGAAATAATGTTTGTTTGTTTGTTTGTTTAACGCAGCACTCAGCAATATTCCACCTGTATGACGGCTGTCTGTAAATAATCGAGTCTAGACCAGACAATCCAATTATTGACACCATGAGCATGAATATACGCAGTTAGGATGTGATGAGATGCATCAACCAAATCAACCTAGCTGACCACCCGATCCCGTTAGTCGCCTCTTACGACAAGCCTGGCTTTGAAGACAAATTGAAACCCCCTAATGTCAAGGATCACATCGGAGACAGCCTCCGTGGTCTAGTGGCAGAGCGTCTGCCCCGAGAGCAAAAGGTAGGTTCGATCCCCGGCCGAGTCATTAAAAAAGACGTGAAAAGATGGTCCTTGTTGTTACCCTGCCTGGTGCTCGGCATTAAGGGGCTAAAACAAGGACTGGAGGGCTCGGCGACAATATACGGTCTGTGTGGGGTATTCATGTTAAACAGTGGCATAGTAGGCACAGTGGGCTAGCGCTATACAACACAGACCGGACTAGTACAAGCAGCCACACACGCTACATAAGTGCAATAATCACCTCACCTTGCCCACCGGGTATATATATACCGAGTAAAAGGCAAAATAGCGCTGAAAAAATGAAATGAAAACTTAATATGAGTGATGACACCAGGTGTTCACGAAATAATAAGCACGCCTTCTCCTAACGGTAGCAGGTAGTGATCCCTTATCTTCAAGCCCCACCCTGACTATAAATAGCCCGCAAGGTGGCGATGTTTCAGTTTCGAACAGTGACTGACAATGTAAACACAACAGAGAGTCGGTGGAAAGCTTTTTGAAAACCGTACGCAAACAAGATCACTATTGACCGTCAAACTTCGTATCAACTTGAATGACAGACCCTCGATACCACAAATGGCACCATATCTAGATATAAGTCAATATATTTTCTGTTGTTTTATCATAAAAAACCGAATCGATCGTGTTTTGCGTCTGCATCAATCACAGTGGGCGGAGCATATTTACGGTTGCTCTATAAATAGCAAAGCACATGGTCATGTGTACATGTGACACATTCAAAGCATTTGTGGTCAAATTGTATTGTGTTGTTTATATATATTACGGCATCAGTTTACAGCATCAGGTAAACATCAGTTTCGGTTAATGTAACAGTAACGATACTTAAATACGAAATTGACAAGAGTCTTTCAGTTCAATCCAAAAATAACAGATATGTGTTTAGTTTTGGACATTTGCATTCACAGAATTTTCACAGACAAAACTGAGTTTGATCATAAGATCCACACTTGTCCTTTGTAGTTTTTGTTCGGGGTATTTTGATACACTTCGCGCACAAGTTTTAAAATACAATCTGGGATCACTTTCTCGTTTTGTCCACACCAACCCTTCACCTGCTGCAACATTTAATATCCGTTTTTTTAAGTCTGAGTATCTACGATCTCTCCAAACACTTCGTCTTTAAAGCTCAGTCCAGAAGCAATGTGTTCGAATCGACGAATTTCTGCAACATGGTGGCACCATTCCCAAACTGCGATTGTCTCTGCCGTGTCACGCATGGTTGACAATAGAAGTGTGAACATATTCGGCTTCATCTGGTTTTACAATGAAATCTCGCTGTGACACTGATTCACTTATCCCAAGAATCGGCACTGAATTTGTCAAAGTTTCTGTTGCACTTGCAAGGGCGGGAAGAGAGGCGCCATCTTGTCGATTCGAGTTGTCAATGGGATGATGTCATCTTGAATTGGAACTTTCTCAACGATAAAGTCACCAATGTTATAATCGAAATGACCAAAGGCTCCCTGATCGTCTCGAACAAATCTCCGTCACATGAAAATGTTTTGTTGGTCATATTGAAGGCAAGCGAAATTGCAAAGTTCTGGACAGTTGTAAGCAGCAATCCGCTCATGGGGTGTGGTTGCTAGGAGATCGCGTGGTCAGAAAGGGGGGAAACAAAAAGTTTAAGAAAGTAATAAAAGAAATCCGCAGTGAAATCCAAAAGTACCATGTACAGGATGTTTTTTAATAATAGTATTCGCGTAAAAATTTCTTTCCTAAAAATGCAAATTAATTTATTAATTCATCCGAAGGTCGTAACCCTGATCACGTGGGTATTTGGAAGGAATCTTGTGATGGCGTGTGTATTACATTGTTGAAATCAACTGACCAGGAAGACTGTCGAGGCATTGACATTATATGATAGCTGCTTGTCATGGATTGAGAACAATGCATCTGAGAGAACCATTGTTGCTTTGAGCCTCGACCAAACATGTGTTCATGCCGAAGTAGTTTACAAGAGAGGATGATCTGTGCAGCCAGCGACCTGAATAAGCTTGATGAAATTAATGTTGAAATCCATGTTCACGCACATGACAGAATTAATGTGAACAATCGTTTCGAAGTATGTGAGGCTGTCCGTATTTTATCTCCATTCCGATGTGAAATCATATAACGTTTTCTTGTCTCAATTTTTCCTGCCGCTGTGGAAAATTGTGCACAGATCTAATAAAAGAAATACTACTAGATCTACCATTGCACAGTCATAATAGAACCAGGTCAACTTTATCTTTCTTCAGTTGTTTCCGTAGCAAAGTGACTCGATCTACATCATAAATTAATTCATAGACTAGATTCTAGTACCAAGTGTTTAATATATATTTGTTTAAATGTCATAAAATAACTGACAGAATTATTGAAAGACATTTTTAATAAGTAATATATTGTATTTCGTCCGCCCGCTCTCTAGTTAGTTGAGACTACAAAAAATATGGATGGCCTTATGCAAATTGCATGCCAATCAACAGGAAATTTGGGTCACTGGGACCCGCCAAGTTTCACGGATCGAGTGACCGGCATTAGGAGTGTTCGGACAAGTGGGACTTTGCCAAAACACAATGCTACTAGGAAATGAGAAGATGTGACGGAAACGACAAAAAAAACTACTTTCATCACTTGAAAATACTTTGGACCATTAACTGGTTTTTTAACACGATCGTTGTGATCCAGACTCCAGATGAAGGCAAGACGAACACAACGAAAAGAAAACACCGTTGAAATCACCGATTGCTGTATATATTGTTAGAACTGCTATTCATAAACTGCAGATACACCGTACACCACAGGATTACCATTGGTGCCGTGATACATATTATGGTTTTTTATTCAATTACACTGCTCTTATTCACCACGACAAGCGTATTTCGTTCTGATCCAGAGAATAGTGCAGAACATTACTATTGTTTGTGTTTTGGTCTGTGTTGGATAAATCGTGGACATTCCACAGTATCATTTTATGAAGATGTGAAGACGACATGGCAGGTAGGTAATGAAACCCAAGACCTACGCATTTTTTTTTTTTTTCTTGGAATCGTTTGATGGATATTTATGACCATTAAAACCTACGTCCTTGTTGTCAAACGGCCCACGTGGGTGGGTGTTTACATGACGTCACCCGTTTACGCATTCACCAATGAAATTTGTGTGTTAGCATGACGTCATATTGACCTGTCAGATCACTCGTATAAGCTCCGCCCCCACAGAGAGCGATAGTTCCTACCGCAGATGCCCCTTTGAGCCAAAAGGTAAAAGGGTCTTGAATCTTACTTTTTGAGTCAGTTGACGACAAAAGTTGATAAAACAGGATTCCAGTAAGTACAACAGAGAGATTAATTGCTGTGTAAAAAAGACTTTCACAGGGTAAAGTAACTGTTTCATATCCTGCTAACATTTCTGAGTGGCACTGACACTACGTGGTTTCGTGTAATTTCAGTCTGGGAACAAGATAGAACTGATGTAAAATGTGAGACTGCGAACACACGAACACAATATATATTTTTTGACAATCTCATTAAAATCCGATCTTAGTTTTCGCTACAGTTAACAAAACTCTAAGGACACCCCGTTACATGTCACGTCAGAACCTTTACCAACCAATGAAACGTCTGACAAAAAGTCGAAATCTCTTTCGTTTAATGTTTATCCCATTGAAACGAGAGATAGACGATGATTTTGACGGAATCAGTTGCACAGTCCGTAACTGTTCTGATGTTCATGATGCGAACAGGTAGTGTTTACTTCCTCTTGAATCCTTTGCCTCACGATGCATTTATAACATACGGGATACGTGAAAGAAAAAGTGACATGTGTTGAAATACAACATGTCGGATTCTACTTGCAGGTGTTGAGACAAGTCCGGTGCCTGGAGATGGAGAAACTCCGGTTGAGCCACAGGATAGAGGGTCTCCTCAGAGAGTGGAAGGTTGATGGTTCTAACCCCTGCATGCGTCATACAAACATGCGTTAAAATCTGATACTTATTATTACCCTGCCTGATGCACTAGTACACGCAGCCACACACACATACATGCATGTAGCTAGATAAGTGAAATAATCTTGAATGCGACGTTAAACCCCATTAAAAATAACACCTGAAGCTCTGAAATGGGCTGATGAAGCAATGATATGTTTTTTTTCTAGAGCAGATTTAAGGCAACTGAATGCTAGGTAATCTGGATCGTTAAGCCCTGAAATCAGAACAACTGTCATATTTGATGTTATAAGTTGGGTTCTACGACGCTTTGAACAATATTTTTATTTATTATGTGTGTACAGCTTAATGGGTTGTTTACAGTTGTCTATCAATACAGCTCAAGGGGTTGTATACAGTTGTGTATCACTACAGCTTAATGGGTTGCATACAGTTGGGTATCAATGCAGGTAAATGGGTTGTATACAGTTGTGTATCACTACAGCTTAATGGGTTGTATACAGTTGGGTATCAATGCAGGTAAACGGGTTGTATACAGTTGTGTATCAATCCAGGTAAGTGGGTTGTATACAGTTATGTATCAATACAGGTAAATGGGTTGTATACAGTTGTGTATCACTGCAGCTTAATGGATTGTATACAGTTGTGTATCAATGCAGGTAAATGGGTTGTATACAGGTGTGTATCAATACAGCTTAGTGGGTTGTATACAGTTGTGTATCACTACAGCTTAATGGGTTGTATATATATATGTGTATCAATACAGCTTAATGGATGTAAAACAGCTGATCACACTACAGCTTAATGGGTTGTATACAGTTGTGTATGAATACAGGTAAATGGGTTGTATACAGATGTGTATCACTACAGCTTAATGAGTTGAATACAGTTGAGTATCATATCAGCTTAATGGGTTGTATACAGTTGTATTTCACTACAGCTTAATCGGTTGTATGCAGTTGTGTATCACTACAGCTTAATGGGTTTAATACAGTTGGGTATCAATACAGGTAAATGGGTTGTATAGAGTTGTGTATCACTACAGCTTAATGGCTTGTATACAGTTATGTATCAATACAAGTAAAAGGGTTGAAAACAGTTGAGTATCACTACATCTTAATGGGTTGTATACAATTGTGTATCAATACAGCTTAATGGGTTGTATACAGCTGTGTATCACTACAGCTTAATGGGTTGTATACAATTGTGTATCACTACAGCTTAATGGGTTGTATACAGTTGTGTATCAAAACAGATGAATGGGTTGTATACAGGTTGGTATCAATACAGGTAAATGGGTTGTATACAGTTGTGTATCACTACAACTTAATGGGTTGTATACAGTTGTGTTTCACTACAGCGTAATGGGTTGTATGCAGTTGGGTATCAATACAGGTAAATGGGTTGCATACAGTTGTGTATCACTACATGTTAATGGACTGTATACAGATGTGCATCACTACAGCTTAATGGACTGTATACAGTTGTGTATCACTACATCTTAATGGGTTGTAAATAGTTGTAGATCACTACAGCTTAATGGGTTGTATACAGTTGTGTATCAATACAGGTGAATTGGTTGTATACAGTTGTTTATCAATACAGCTTAATGAGTTGTATACAGTTGTGTATCACTACAGCCTTATGGGTCGAATACAGTTGTGTATCACTACAGCTTCATGGGTTGTATACAGTTGTGTATCAATACAGGTGAACGGGTTGTATACAGTTGAGTAACAATACAGGTAAATGGGTTGTATACAGTTGAGTAACAATACAGGTAAATGAGTTGTATACAGTTGAGTAACAATACAGGTAAATGGGTTGTATACAGTTGTGTATCACTACAACTTAATGGGTTGTATACAGTTGAGTAACAATACAGTTACATGGCTTGTATACAACTGTGTATCACTACAACTTAATGGGTTGTATGCAATTGTGTATCAATACAGGTAAATGGGTTGTATACAGTTGTGTTTCACTACAGCTTAATGGATTGCATACAGTTGTGCATCAATACAGGTAAATGAGTTGTATACAGTTGAGTAACAATACAGGTAATTTTATTGTATACAGTTGTGTATCACTACAGCTTAATGGGTTGTATACAGTTGTGTATTATTGCAGCTTCCAACACTGGCCAGCTCTTCGTGCACGTATCCACGTGACTGGGTTCCAACACTGATCAGCTGTTCGTGCACGTATATACGTGACTGGGTTCTAACACTGGCCAGATGTTCGTGCACGTATATACGTGACTGGGTTCTAACACTGGCCAGCTCTTCGTGCACGTATCCACGTGACTGGGTTCCAACACTGACCAGCTGTTCGTGCACGTATATACGTGACTGGGTTCTAACACTGGCCAGATGTTCGTGCACGTATATACGTGACTGGGTTCTAACACTGACCAGCTGTTCGTGCACGTATATACGTGACTGGGTTCTAACACTGGCCAGATGTTCGTGCACGCATCCACGTGACTGGGTTCCAACACTGACCAGCTGTTCGTGCATGTATGCACGTGACTGGGTTCCAACACTGACCAGCTGTTCGTGCATGTTTTCACCTGTTTGTACACGAATAGTCTGACAGATTTAGTTATTGAATCTGATGAGTTTTAAATTACGTTCTCTTAAGGTTTTGTCTGTTTTAAAGCATTTGATTCCGTCCAACATACTTGGCACCAAATTTTGAAAAATATAAAACAAAGAGGGTACAAGACAAGGTGGACATTCATGCCCGGTCCTCTTGCCCTTGCTTTCTGTGTAATCTGGAGGAGATATGCTAAGGTGTACAGTTAAAAGAATGAATATTTGTCACCGCATGGAATGTAGTTTTACTTCTTGTGAAAAGCCGATGTAACTCTACCTTGGGTCAGGAAGCTGATAATGGGGAAGTTGAGAGTATACTCATTACGTATATAACTGTTATGCTTTTAAAATTCCATATTATTTCTACCCGTTGTAATTCCTCAGTGATGTTTCCTATCGATGAATTCATATGTTTAAATATGTTGTGGTTATTGACAGAATAACCCTGTTTACCATGTGATTCGGACATTCAAGAAACATGCCGCGTCACATTAATAGTTTCAGGTGTACACGTAGAAAGAGATCGCAACGAGAACTTAATGATACATTTTCAATATTGTCGATAATCAATATGTGTGGGTGTTTTCGATGCAAATTTAACATTCAATATGGCATTGCATATTCATTAACACACGACAAACATACAACATGTAATCCTTCGACGTTAATCAGGTTCGGGCGTGAAAAGAGAAGTTTCCAGATCTGGACGGTGTTCCTCAAATGATACCAAGAGATGCTTACACAGAATGCACTCCTTTTTCGACGCATCGACCATAATGTGCGGGTAGGTATCCAGACAATCTTGAAAAGCACGATATTGTCACAAATACCTATGGTTCATTCTGACGTCATTGTACCTTTAATGACGTCATCAAACAATGGAGGAGACATGAGTGGTGCGTATTAAAATATTACCCCCCGGCCCCATGGTATCTAAAGTACATGTTTCAATACAATTTGGAAAGCAACCCCTCTGTATGTATTATTTGCTTCAAGACAGATCCTAAAGTGTATTATTTCATTTTTGTTTTCATTTAAAAGAGCCTTTTGATTTATACTGTGAGTGCACCTATTTATGCCCGTTACATATATGAAAATAAAAATTTGTTATTTGACAAATTATCCTTAATATTGTAGGAAACAATAAGCTGCACGCATCTTTTCATATTTTCCTGATAAAACTCTTGGGTGTTAATGGGGAACTCGTGACAGTTCTACATCGGGGTATAAAGGAATAGTTTCCCATAGTTAGGAATAACGGGACTCTGCTTTGCCTCCTTTGTTCTCACAGTCGTAACTCCATATCCTGATAAAATACTGTCACTCATCCTCTATTTATTACTTCAATGTTGACAGGGACGTGACACGTGCCATAAATTGTTTGACTTCGATCATCGAGCGATGCTCTAACATAGACGGAGGCACGTCTCTTGCAGACCTTAACATAATACGCCTTTACCTGATGGGACTCTGTAAGTTGAAAGAATGTTTGTTTGTTTGTTTGCTTGCTTGTCGCAGCACTCACTAGTATTTCAGCTATATGACGGTTGTCTGTAAATAATCGAGTATAGGCCAGACAATCCAATTATTGACATCGTGAACATCGATCCACGCAATTGGGATGTGATGAGATGCATCAACCAATTTCAGCGTAATGTTCGCGATAAAGAGAGCGTATCCTGCCCCGTCGGTGGCATCTGTCACAAAGGATGCTACCCCCGAATGTGTCAATCGACAGTTTCACGCTTGTTTGTTTGAACGCACGTCCCGTTTAACTTTTGGCTTAAGGGAAAGATCTCTACCTGCTACCGTAAGAGCAAGACGTGCTAAATATTTCGTGAACACCCCATTTTCTAGTTCTCTTTTCATCGCAATTTTGCCTTTTTACACAATCTCATTAAAATTATCTCTTAGTTTTCGCTTAAGTAGATGATGCAAGGACTGGCCGGCTCTGAGTCGCCATAATATTTGTTTTGGTAGGTTTTGTTAAGTTGTATTAGTTGTGTATCAGTACGGCTAGGGGGGTTGTATTAGTTGTGTATCAGTACGGCTAGGCGGGTTGTATTAGTTGTGTATCAATACGGCTAGGCGGGTTGTATTAGTTGTGTATCAATACGGCTAGGCGGGTTGTATTAGTTGTGTATCAGTACGGCTAGGCGGGTTGTTTTAGTTGTGTATCAATACGGCTAGGCGGGTTGTATATGTTGTGAATCAGTATGGCTAGGCGGGTTGTATTAGTTGTGTATCAGTATGGCTAGGCGGGTTGTATTAGTTGCGAATCAGTAAGGCAAGGCGGGTTGTATTTGTTGTGAATCAATACGGCTAGGCGGGTTGTATTAGTTGTGTATCAGCATGGCTATACGGGTTGTATTTGTTGTGAATCAATACGGCTAGGCGGGTTGTATTAGTTGTGTATCAGCATGGCTATACGGGTTGTATTTGTTGTGAATCAATACGGCTAGGCGGGTTGTATTAGTTGTGTATCAGCATGGCTATACGGGTTGTATTTGTTGTGAATCAGTATGGCTAGGCGGGTTGTATTAGTTGTGTATCAGTACAGGTAAATGGGTTGCATACAGGTGTGTATCACAACAGCTAAATGATTTTTAGACAGTTTGTGTAATAATACAGCTAAATAGGTTTTATACAGTTTGTGCATCAATACAGCTACGTGGGTTGCATACAGTTGTATATGACTGAAGCTAAGTTGGTTGCATACGGTTGTATATGACTGAAGCTAAGTGGGTTGCATACAGTTGTATATGACTGAAGCTAAGTTGGTTGCATACGGTTGTATATGACTGAAGCTAAGTGGGTTCCATACAGTTGTATATGACTGAAGCTAAGTGGGTTGCATACAGATGTATATGACTGAATCTAAGTGGGTTGCATACAGTTGTGTATGACTGAAGCTAAGTGGGTTGCATACAGGTGTATATGACTGAAACTAAACGGGTTGCATACAGTTGTATATGACTGAAACTAAGTTGGTTGCATACAGTTGTATATGACTGAAACTAAGTGGGTTGCATACAGTTGTGTATGACTGAAACTAAGTGGGTTGCATACAGTTGTATATGACTGTAGCTAAGTGGGTTGCATATAGTTGTGTATGACTGTAGCTAAGTGGGTTGAATCCAGTTGTGTATGACTGTAGCTAAGTGGGTTGCATACAGTTGTATATGACTGTAGCTAAGTGGGTTGCATACAGTTGTGTATGACTGAAACTAAGTGGGTTGCATACAGTTGTGTATGACTGAAACTAAGTGGGTTGCATACAGTTGTATATGACTGTAGCTAAGTTGGTTGCATACAGTTGTGTATGACTGAAACTAAGTGGGTTGCATACAGTTGTATGACTGAAGCTAAGTTGGTTGCATACAGTTGTATATGACTGAAGCTAAGGGGGTTGCATACAGTTGTATGACTGTCGCTAAGTGGGTTGCATACAGTTGTATATGACTGAAGCTAAGGGGGTTGCATACAGTTGTATATGACTGTAGCTAAGTTGGTTGAAAACAGATTTATATGACTGAAGCTAAGGGGGTTGCATACAGTTGTATGACTGTCGCTAAGTGGGTTGCATACAGTTGTATATGACTGAAGCTAAGGGGGTTGCATACAGTTGTATATGACTGTAGCTAAGCTGGTTGCATGCAGTTGTTTATGACTGAAGCTAAGGGGGTTGCATACAGTTGTGTATGACTGTAGCTAAGTGCGTTGCATACAGATGTATATGACTGTAGCTAAGTGGGTTGCATACAGTTGTGTATGACTGAAACTAAGTGGGTTGCATACAGTTGTGTATGACTGAAACTAAGTGGGTTGCATACAGTTGTGTATGACTGAAACTAAGTGGGTTGCATACAGTTGTATATGACTGTAGCTAAGTTGGTTGCATACAGTTGTGTATGACTGAAACTAAGTGGGTTGCATACAGTTGTATGACTGAAGCTAAGGGGGTTGCATACAGTTGTATATGACTGAAGCTAAGTTGATTGCACACAGTTGTATATGACTGAAGCTAAGGGGGTTGCATACAGTTGTATATGACTGTAGCTAAGTTGGTTGAAAACAGATTTATATGACTGAAGCTAAGGGGGTTGCATACAGTTGTATGACTGAATCTAAGTTGGTTGCACACAGTTGTATATGACTGAAGCTAAGGGGGTTGCATACAGTTGTATATGACTGTAGCTAAGCTGGTTGCATACAGTTGTTTATGACTGAAGCTAAGGGGGTTGCATACAGTTGTGTATGACTGTAGCTAAGTGGGTTGCATACAGTTGAGTATGACTGTAGCTAAGTGGGTTGCATACAGTTGTGTATGACTGAAACTAAGTGGGTTGCATACAGTTGTATATGACTGAAACTAAGTGGGTTGCATACAGTTGTATATGACTGTAGCTAAGTTGGTTGCATACAGTTGTGTATGACTGAAACTAAGTGGGTTGCATACAGTTGTATGACTGAAGCTAAGTTGGTTGCATACAGTTGTATATGACTGAAGCTAAGGGGGTTGCATACAGTTGTATGACTGTCGCTAAGTGGGTTGCATACAGTTGTATATGACTGAAGCTAAGGGGGTTGCATACAGTTGTATATGACTGTAGCTAAGTTGGTTGAAAACAGATTTATATGACTGAAGCTAAGGGGGTTGCATACAGTTGTATGACTGTCGCTAAGTGGGTTGCATACAGTTGTATATGACTGAAGCTAAGGGGGTTGCATACAGTTGTATATGACTGTAGCTAAGCTGGTTGCATACAGTTGTTTATGACTGAAGCTAAGGGGGTTGCATACAGTTATGTATGACTGTAGCTAAGTTGGTTGCATACAGATGTATATGACTGTAGCTAAGTGGGTTGCATACAGTTGTGTATGACTGAAACTAAGTGGGTTGCATACAGTTGTGTATGACTGAAACTAAGTGGGTTGCATACAGTTGTGTATGACTGAAACTAAGTGGGTTGCATACAGTTGTATATGACTGTAGCTAAGTTGGTTGCATACAGTTGTGTATGACTGAAACTAAGTGGGTTGCATACAGTTGTATGACTGAAGCTAAGGGGGTTGCATACAGTTGTATATGACTGAAGCTAAGTTGATTGCACACAGTTGTATATGACTGAAGCTAAGGGGGTTGCATACAGTTGTATATGACTGTAGCTAAGTTGGTTGAAAACAGATTTATATGACTGAAGCTAAGGGGGTTGCATACAGTTGTATGACTGAATCTAAGTTGGTTGCACACAGTTGTATATGACTGAAGCTAAGGGGGTTGCATACAGTTGTATATGACTGTAGCTAAGCTGGTTGCATACAGTTGTTTATGACTGAAGCTAAGGGGGTTGCATACAGTTGTGTATGACTGTAGCTAAGTGGGTTGCATACAGTTGAGTATGACTGTAGCTAAGTGGGTTGCATACAGTTGTGTATGACTGAAACTAAGTGGGTTGCATACAGTTGTATATGACTGAAACTAAGTGGGTTGCATACAGTTGTATATGACTGTAGCTAAGTTGGTTGCATACAGTTGTGTATGACTGAAACTAAGTGGGTTGCATACAGTTGTATGACTGAAGCTAAGTTGGTTGCATACAGTTGTATATGACTGAAGCTAAGGGGGTTGCATACAGTTGTATGACTGTCGCTAAGTGGGTTGCATACAGTTGTATATGACTGTAGCTAAGGGGGTTGCATACAGTTGTATATGACTGAAGCTAAGTTGATTGCACACAGTTGTATATGACTGAAGCTAAGGGGGTTGCATACAGTTGTATATGACTGTAGCTAAGTTGGTTGCAAACAGATTTATATGACTGAAGCTAAGGGGGTTGCATACAGTTGTATGACTGAATCTAAGTTGGTTGCATACAGTTGTATATGACTGAAGCTAAGGGGGTTGCATACAGTTGTATATGACTGCAGCTAAGCTGGTTGCATACAGTTGTTTATGACTGAAGCTAAGGGGGTTGCATACAGTTGTGTATGACTGAAACTAAGTGGGTTGCATACAGTTGTGTATGACTGAAACTAAGTGGGTTGCATACAGTTGTATATGACTGTAGCTAAGTTGGTTGCATACAGTTGTGTATGACTGAAACTAAGTGGGTTGCATACAGTTGTATGACTGAAGCTAAGTTGGTTGCATACAGTTGTATATGACTGAAGCTAAGGGGGTTGCATACAGTTGTATGACTGTAGCTAAGTTGGTTGCATACAGTTGTGTATGACTGAAACTAAGTGGGTTGCATACAGTTATGTATGACTGAAACTAAGTGGGTTGCATACAGTTGTATATGACTGTAGCTAAGTTGGTTGCATACAGTTGTGTATGACTGAAACTAAGTGGGTTGCATACAGTTGTGTGACTGAAGCTAAGTTGGTTGCATACAGTTGTATATGACTGAAGCTAAGGGGGTTGCATACAGTTGTATGACTGTAGCTAAGTGGGTTGCATACAGTTGTATATGACTGTAGCTAAGGGGGTTGCATACAGTTGTATGACTGTAGCTAAGTGGGTTGCATACAGTTGTATGACTGTAGCTAAGTGGGTTGCATACAGTTGTATATGACTGAAGCTAAGTTGGTTGCATACGGTTGTATATGACTGAAGCTAAGTTGGTTGCATACAGTTTTATATGACTGAAGCTAAGTGGGTTGCATACAGTTGTGTATGACTGAAACTAAGTGGGTTGCATATAGTTGTATATGACTATAGCTAAGTGGGTTGCATACAGTTGTATATGACTGTAGCTAAGTGGGTTGCATACAGTTGTATATGACTGAAGCTAAGTGGGTTGCATATGTTGATATCCCACAGGCCCAAGGAGCAAGTGATGGAATTTCATGAAGAGGTTCAAGGAAACGTTCAAGGACATGTTCAAGGAATTTAAATAAATGATTTAAGTAAATGATCTCTTCATGTTTGTTGTCAGTATATGTACATTTAGTCGCTCCAAAAACCTTCTACGTCCAAGCGACAAAAACCTTTCCATAATCAAAAGGAATCTCTGATAAAAGTCAATTGTACGATTCCGGCTATACCATGAACACGTTTTTTTTGAATCCCTATCAAATAGTGGTGACACCAGGTGTTTGCTAGAGGGTAAGCGTATCCTGCCCCAAAGGTGGCACCAATGGTAAACATATTCAAACGTTAGTCAGTTGTCAAACTGAAGACCCGGGTTCGAATACCAACATGGTTACAATGTGTGAAGCCCATTTCTGGTGTCCCCCGTCGTGATATTGCTGGAATATTGCTAAAAACGGCCTAAAAACATACTCACTCACTCCACCTGAAAAAAACCCAGGAAATAATGCTGCAAGTCAAAATAGGCGTCCTCGCCTAAACCCAAGGTTCGTCTCCCAAAACCATTAGTGTGTGTAGTGAGTGAGTGAGTGAGTGAGTTGGGTTTAACGCCGCTTTTAACAGTATTCCAGTTATATCACGGCGTGTCAGCTTGATGTGGGAGGAAAGCCCGAAGTGATGCAGGTCTCAGACGTTTACCACTTTGGTGAAACCCACGAGCACAGGTATGGTGCTGACAGACCTAGAAACATAATCGGGCTGAACCGGGATTCGAACCCACAATCATAGGTTTCTGGCGTGTCCAGGGGACGCAACTCTGCACAGCGAATCGCGACGCCTTAGACGACTGGGCCACCCGTGCCCCCATTAGTGTGTGTAGCCAACTACCCTGTAGTTGTATGTATCACGGTATGATAAGAGCCATTTTGGGCCTGCAGGATCTGTATACTGAATATAAGAATTTAGCAATCCTTTTAGAAATGTTATGAAGATATGTAAATGATAACAAGACTTTGTTCATTTAAGACATGGGCGGTCGGGTAGCCTCGTGGTTAAAGCGTTGGCTCGACACGCCGAAGACCCGGGTTCGATTCCCGACATTGGTACAATGCGTGAAGCCCATTTCTGGTGTCCCCCGCCGTGATATTGTTGGAATATTGCTAAAAGCGGCGTAAAGCCATACTCACTCACTCACTCACTCATTTAAGACATACGTTATTTGGAAGTATTAAAACGTAGATCGCTTCATTCCTACTTCAACACCACGCGCGCACGCGCACACTCACAGGGAATTAACCAACTGATCATTATTGAACAAGATCAGATCATCAAATCCTCGATATACTGGAAGCTTAAGTGAGATGTTATCAACGAGTAAGTGAGTGAGTTAAAATTTAACGTCGCATCGGCATTATCTCAGCCATATAGCAACTGTTATCAACGAGGAAGTCGAACATTTTGCATGGTATTCTCAGTAAACTTTACTTTTTGGACAAATGTTCCTGAAGCTCTGAAGATAGAAGTTGTTACCACGTTTAGTAACAATCGAGTACAAGGTTGAAATTTTGTTAATTCCAGAAATTCTAATGGTGAAAAGCGGAAACCGATACAGGTTTTTGAAACCCAAGATGTGACTCCTCCGAAACCGAAACCGGTTTTTATTCTGGAACAAGGACGGGTCATCTCGGAGTCAGTATACTGAGTCTGGGTGGGGTATTCATTTTAAACTGCGGCGTGGTATCTCAGTGAGCTAGCACTATGAATCGGCATCAGTCTGGACTAGTACAAGCATCCACACACACAAACACACGGGTATGCACATCGCTATATAAGCGCAATAATCTTGCAGGCACCTCATTTAATCAGCAGGGCTACACGTGACGTCATTGGTACAGCTGTACACCTGGACGTATCCACTCCGTGTTCAAACGTTAGAATAATGTATAGTCAATACTGTAGACGTGAGTGTCCGCACTGTATTCTAGACTTCCAGAATGTTCATTGTCACATGGGACTATGTCGGTGTTTGTTTGTTTGTTTGTTTGTTTGTTTGTTTGTAGTGTAACGCCGCACTCAGCAAAAATTCCAGCTGACATCATGAGCATCGATCCACGCAATTGGGATACGATGACATGCATTAACCAGGAAAGGGAGCCTGACGACCCGATCCCGTCAGCACAGTCGCCTTTAACGGCAAGCATGGGTTGCTGAAGACCTGTTCTACCACGGATCATCACGGGGTCTATTTCAGTGAATTGGAATTCTGCTATTGGAGCATTGATCACTTCGTAACCTGTGTCTTGTGACAAACCTCAAATCTTAATTGCAGATTATGGAAATATGTCAACCATCATGATATCAAGATTGAAGCTCCAAACTTAGGAAAGCCTTGTTTGTTTGTGGCGGTGCGTGTGCACGTGCGTCCGTGTGTGCGTGTGTGCGTGTGTGCGTGTGTGCGTATGTGCCTGTGTGCGTGTGCGTGTTGCATGCGTGTCCATGACGTTGGAATCCGTTGACACGCCATCAAACAGTTTTTGTCATCGAGCTCATTATATCACCCATTGGTTTGTCTTTCCCAAGGTGGCTACTGAATATAACAGGAATATTTGTTTTGCACACATTCTGTCGGTTCTTGAAGTTTAAGTTTAAAAGTCAATGCTAAACACTTTCTAACAACGCATTGTGTGTTCAATGCTAAACAGGACTGGTTTAAATGCACACTACGTTAAACCTCATTTCATCTCACTTCAAGCATGTGAAAAAGTAGGTGTGTTGTATGCGAAAACCTGCCTCAGTCGCTCGTGTGTTTCGTCTATCTAATATACATGTATGTGTAATTCGAAGTGTGCATTGGTGCAATATTGATTTTTAAAGAACAACTGTTAAAGGTGAGGTGATATGGAGTTTAACTTCGCGTTCAAGATTATCGCACTTATATAGCGACGTACATGCACGTGTATGTGTGTGTGTTGCTGCTTGTACAAGCCCGGACTGATGCCGATTTTATAGTGCTAGCTCACTGAGATACCATGCCGCACTGTAACATGGACTTCCCACTCAGAGACAGTATACTGACTCCGAGCCGACCAGTCCTTGTGTTAGCCCTTTCTGCTGAGCGCCAAGCAGGGTAAGTAACTCAGGTCTTTGAATGGCATTTCAAAGTGTTACGCATGAGGAAGATGTCAACTTTCTTTATAACACAACGTTTCGGAGTGCTTACTCTTTCACCAGGTCACCAGGTGATAAAGGAGTAAGCACATACTTGTACTTCGAAACGTTGTGTTCCTCATAATATAGAAGTTGACGTCCGTGAATTCTCTTCCTCAACAAGTACCATATTTTAGCGTCATTTCGTATGACGCGAACGGAGATCGAACCCACGATCTTCCGCTCTCCGGGACGACGCTTTATACTCTAGACCACGGAGGCAGTCTGCAACTGTTCAAGAAACACAGACAAGATATGTTTGGATGAAGTAATTCTTGAGTGAGAATATACTCAGCTACACTGCATATATTTTAGCTCTCTTGGAGCAACCAGAAGTCCACAGCAACCTTTGCGTGTCGTATATGATGGGGTGGTCAGGCTCGGTGACTTCACTGCACACCGCCTCCATGGTCTAGTGGATAGAGCGTCTGCCCGGACAGCGGAAGATTCTGGATTCGAAGCCCGGCATACCACACAACGTTAAAAGATGGCATTTGTTGTTACCCTGCCTGACGTTCGGAATGTAGGAGATTACACAATGACTGGTAGGCTTGGAGTCAGGATACTATGTCTGAATGGGGTATTCGTGTTGAACTGCATCATGGTATCTCAATGGGCATAAACCGGCATTAGTCCGGACTAGTACAAGCATGCACAAGCACGCACGCACGCGCGCGCAAGCAAATCGCTATATATGCATGAATGCGACGGTAAAGCCAATTTCACCTGGGTTCAATTCATTTATTGCGTGATCCACAAGCACTGAAACGCTGGAGACCTACCCAATCCTGCGTCAACACGGGATAAAGAGAAGGAAGATGTTGGTACTATTAAGTCAGATTTATTGAATGCACATTATCATCATATTAAGCAAGTCACACAACGCCGAGTGAGGCTATTTTGAATCTTCTACTCATCATCAGAGTAATCGTCGCCCGAATCATGGCCACGTTTCGCATCTATAAAATGGAAGATACAACTTTATGTTAAACATGAAAATATATGAAACTATATTATTAGAACATTGACACATATGAGGCGCCTTCGACCCTGACTTGGCCACCCGTACGAGCCTTCTACATTCTACTTACTATATCGCTTCTCATCTTCCTTACTGGCATAAACCACAGCTGGTTTATTCTTTGAATCAGCTACGAATGTATTGTCCCTGTTGCCGGACACATCTCTCTTAGATCTTGCCACGTTTCCTTTTGTTGAAGTGGTATTATATGGTTTGCCATTCTGTGAATGATGAGAGTGATACTTGTCGCCTGGTGACCTTGAGGATTCCGGATCATGGGGAGATAATTCTGTAGATGACTTCCTGTTGGTATCGATATTGGGCAAGACTCGGTACGGGTTGAGAGGTTCATTGTTGGGTCCTTCTGTTGTATTCGTCCTCGCTGGCCGGGACGTCGATCTGAAACGATTTTCAGACCAGTTGTCAATTGTTATCGTACAAGAGGAAATTGTACTTTATGTTGATGAACATTAAAATAATAGTACATTCAGCGAATACTTGGCATGACCCCCGTTGTAACAGGCAACGTAATGGATCGATGACTTGAGAGCTGTTTCCTGACTGCGTTGATATTGCTCATAATATTATGACTGGAGTCATGAATAGAGGCCGCCGTGATGCGACGACATATTGCGGTGTTAAATAAAAACAAACCAAAGCAAAACAGAACATACCCTTCGACATAAAAGACACAAAAAAACATGAAAAAATGTAATTATTAAGAGGTCATTTTTCCAGTTTCACATTTTCAGTCAGCTTTTGTTCCGTGGGGAACATTGGGAGGAACAGTTACCTACTATTTTATGAAGACGGATGTAAATCTTTTCGAACATCCTATTTTAGATATATAAGTATTTAATATGTATCATATAAAGGCATGTGTAATAGATGCCATAACCAATTCGATGCACATGATATCACGATCCCATAAATATGCAAGTGTTTGTTTCGTTTTGTTGTTTAACGCGGCACTCAGCAATACTCCAGCTATATGACGGCGGTCTGTAAATAATCGAATCTGGACCAGACAACCCAGTTATTGACATCATGAGCATCGATCTACGTAATTGGAATACGATGACATGCATCAACCTGACCACCCGATCCATTTAGTCGCCTCTGACGGCAAGCATGTGTTGCTCAAGACCTATTCTCTACAATAACAAAACATCTTCAAATTGAGGTTTAACGTAGTGGACATGCAACCAGGCCTGTTTAGCATTGAATACATAATGCCTTGTCGCATATACCAATGCGATCCCCTAGAAGGAACTACCTTCATGTTCCATACAACAATGCGGTGCCTTTTTCTCTATAAACTACTGACGGTTTTTTATCATACTTAGAAACACGTGTCACGGAAACATGATGATAAGCATGACTGTAAGTCATTTGGCACTATATGGTAAATTGGGCGTTTTTCAAGGTACTTCATTGAGTGAAATTACGTCTTATACATTCAGTAGTTTAAAAATGCTATTATATCATAAAATAATTTTACTCCTGTTTCCGTCCAGCATAATACATTTGTGTTCCTAATCTAAGAAATTTACAATACGGAAGAACACTCGGCTAATAAATTCTATTACCCTGAAGCACGTGAGTTAAGATCATTATGACATATTAATAATGGACAAACCAGGGTTTCTACTCATTTGCGTTATGACGTTCAAGAAGGCTTCAAGACTTATATAACATATATCAGTGACAAATATTAACTAGTTTTTCAAACCCTAACAATGTTTAGCTTGACAATGTCTATTCCTAACGTTAGGAAGTTAAAGCCAGACCTTCATTTCTTTAAGAGGTGAAGTCATAGACACCTGTTTTGTGATGGATGTCTCCTTTGTGATGGTTGTCTCCTTGGTGATGGTTGTCTCCTTGGTGATGGTTGTCTCCCTGGTGATGGTTGTCTCCCTGGTGATGGTTGTCTCCTTGGTGAAGACGACTCGTATCCCTCCAGTGGTATCAGTTTAGCCTCCCTGCGCTTTGCTCTTCTCCGCGAGGTTACGTCTGAAAATACGAAACCGAGCCACAAGGCTCTGTAGCTCACTTGAATTTTTCTGGAGGTGAGGTGAAATTGGGTTTAACGTCGCGTCCAAGATTATTGCACTTATAAAGCGACGTGCATGCACGTGTGTGTCTGTGGCTGCTTGTACTAGTCCGGACTGATGCCGATTTATAGTGCTAGCTCACTGAGATACCATGCCGCAGTTTAACATGAATACCCCACTCAGACACAGTATACTGACTCCGAGCCGACCAGTCCTTGTTTTAGCCCCTTAATGTCGAGCGCCAGACAGGGTAACAACAAGTACCATCTTTTAACGTCTTTTGGTATGACGCGGCCGGGGATCGAACCCCGGACCTTCCGCTCTCCGGGCGGACGCTCTACCACAAGACCACGGAGGCGGCAGAATTTTTCTGGAATGTTATATAAGACCAGAAAGGGTAAAGAAGGAAATCCAAAGAACTAACAGAAATACCTGACGACCTTCATCACCACAACATGTCCGCATAGAGAAACCGCCGGCAAAAAGAGAGAGTATAAACTTAAAAACTGGACCTCACCCCAAACCGACAAACGTTATCAAAACGTCACTAGACTGAAAACAGTCGTCGAAAGACTGCAAACGTAAGGCCCAAACACCTTCAAATAACCATTTCTTCTCTGTTTTATTTTAGCCACCATCAAAGATGGGTGTATACCTGGCAGATAACATGCATAAGTGGCTATGTTGAGAGAGGGACAGATTTACGCATTCATCATGATTGCACTGAAACTTTTGGCAGCCAACACAGATATTACAAAACACAGTAAAATACACAGTAAAATATGACATTTGGCACAGCTCATAACAATTGTGTTTAAAATCGAACAGAAAACTTTTCCAAGAAGACACTTTGTTGAAACTAAATACATGCGGATTTGAGTGAGTGAGTGAGTGAGAATGGTTTTACGCCGCTTTTAGCAATATTCCAGCCATATCGGGGCGGGGAACCCCAGAAATGGGCTTCACACAATGTACCCATGTCGGGAATCGAACCCGGGTCTTCGGCGTGACGAGCGAACGCTGTAACCACTAAAATACCATAACGCCACACATGAAATGGCAACGCACCTTCAATTCTCTTATCTAGCCTTTTCCGAGTAGCCATCTTGTTATATGAGTTACAGTAGACTCTCGCTGTCTGGCAGAGAAGCAGAACATTCTCCTTCGATATCTTGCAGTCCTTGACCTTAACAACGTCACGTGCTGACGCGGGGACCGTGAAGGGATCCGGGGTATGCTTTGGGAGGTCAAGGGTCAATTCAGTTGCTTCACTTCCGGCAAGACAGGAAGTGTGGTGTTTCCGGTTAACGAAGGAGAAGTCTGGTTCAAATAAAGAACAAAACAGTCTTATGATGAATAGAATATACATTTGAAACCCAACTTTGTTAACAGAGACTGGTAGTTGGTTGTAACCTGATCATGCCCATCGTTTGAGAAGGAAATAGCATTGTTCCTCCTTCAGTGAGTGAATTTGGAGATTGAGTTACTGCATGCAGCATGGAAGCACGCTGATTTGATATTTCAGGGTTAAATTTAAATGAAAAGAACCAGCAAGTTTGCAGAATATGGCATACCCTACTCTAGCCAAATGGGACTGGATATCTTTTTCAAAATAATATTTCTCTAAAGGACTTCCGTAGGTCTTGTGGTGTCTGATGTTTGCGATGGTTGGTTGGTTTGTTGTTTAACGCCGCACTCAGCAATATTCCAGCTATATGACGGCGGTCTGTAAAATAATCGAGTCTGGACCAGACAATCCAGTGATTGACATCATGAGCATCGATCCACGCAATTGGGATCGATGACATGTATCAACCAAGTCAGCGAGCCTGACCACCCGATCCCGCTAGTCGCCTCTTACGACAAGCATAGTCGCCTTTTACGGCAAGCATGGGTTGCTGAAGAACTATTCTACCCCGGATCTTCACGGGTCTGTTTGCGATGGACGAGTGACACAAAGGCCATGTCACAAGGGACCGCACCCGTGGAGATTCCGGGTAAGAATCGGTCGTAAGAGGCGACTAAATGCTGATCAGGCTTGATACATGTCATCCTGTCCAAATTCCGTATATCGATGCTCATGCTGGCAATCACTGGATTGTCTGGTCAAGACATGCGGGATTGTTGTTTCACGCCGCACTCAGCAATATTCCCGCTATATGACGGGGGTCTGTAAATAATCGAGTCTGGGCCAGACAATCCAGAGATTGACATCATGAGCATCGATCCACGCAATTGGGATACGATGATAGGCATCAACCAAGTCAGAGAGCCTGACCCGATCCCGTTAGTTGCCTCTTACGACAAGCATAGTCGCAAGCGTGGTTGGTGAAGACCTATTCACAGGTCGTCAAGACATATATATATATATATATGTGTGTGTGTGTGTGTGTGTGTGTGTGAGAGAGAGAGAGAGAGAGAGAGAGAGAGAGAGAGAGAGAGAGAGAGAGAGAGAGAGAGAGAGAATGTATGTATACTCGTAAGATATATCAAATGTAATTGTTGTGTTTAATATTTTTGTAAACAAAGTAATTGTGATCTGCCCCAACTATTAGGACTGTTAACCGTCTAGCGCTTCACAGGCTTCTTGCAATGTATGATCCCCAAGGAGCTGGGAATGAAAATCAAATGCACACTGATCCGTTAAATATCATAATCCATAAGGTGCAAGTACATACCTTTATGCCTGTGTGGTAAATCCATGTTGACTACAAAGCTGGAAGGAACGCTGTCACATTTTCCAAGAAGAACACAGTTAAGGAGTTATCTTAAATCTACTCACCGCGGTCACACTTCCTCATACTAAAATACAATATAGAGACCTTAAGTACACAGATATAAACGTGTCAGCCCCGTCTCAAGGACACGGGCGAGAGAGACAGCGTAGTCGAAATCGCGCATTTATTATAGTTTATCTTGAATGTCAAAGGCATTGATAAAGGAGAACAGAGGTCGACGCGATGTTATTTCAAATGTTTAATTTAACTGCAGGACATCAACGTTGGCGTTCAGACGTTTACAGATTGTGATCCTCTGGAGGAGGCTCTGTTGCGTTACCGGGCAGGATACAAAGAACATTCATTTGTCGGGTGATTGTGTCATGAGCTTTGTTCAACATCTGTGTCAAGAAGAATGACTTTTTCAGACATTGATATGCTGGGTCAACAAATATGTGTTTTTTACCACCGGTGGGACAGGATACGATCACCTTTCAGCGATCCCCTGATATCATATTGCTGTGTGCGGCGGTTAAACAACAAACAAACAAACAAAAGAAACAAAAACATAAATAATCAGTAAGAATCTTGAATTCGAATCCACCATCAAGGGCCTGAGCGCACCCAAAGAACGGGTACAATGTAACTGTTTCTTGCTGACATACATTCCGAATAATTGCATTCATTGTGGTAGCGATGTGAAGTTCCTATGTGAATGGCGGAGGTAGCCATGGTAACAAGAGCAGTCACAGATATGTACGTCATGATAATAATATTCTTTTCCTGAATATATAACCGCCTCTTATGTATTTTAAAAATATTCCTCACCTTACATTATAACTTGTCAGCCAATCTCGTGGGCGGGGGGGGGGGGGGGGGGGGGGGGCACGGGTGGCCCAGTCGTCTAAGGCGCCGCGATTCGCTGTGCAGGGTTGCGGCCCTTGGGCATGCCAGAAACCTATGATTGTTGGTTCGAATCCCGGTTCACCCCAATTATGTTTCTAGGTTTGTCAGCACCATACCCGTGCTTGTGGGTTTCACCGAAGTGGTAAAGGTCTGAGACCTGCATCACTTCGGGCTTTCCTCCCACATAAAGCTGACACGCCGTGATATAACTGGAATGCTGTTAAAAGCGGCGTTAAACCCAACTAATTCACTCACTCGTGGGCGGAATATATGGCGCGATGGACCCTGTGTGTGAGGGCTATGTACTCCGAGCCGACAGGTGTACATGTAGGGAACATAAACCCAGGAAAGGGTATAACGAATTTTATCCCCCGAGGAACCGATTGACAAAGAATTTATCTCCGACGCACATTCATACAGGTCCGGAATATAAGTTTGTCCGCAGATTCTAGTAGCAGACGACGTAAACGAAACGAGTTACTTCTTTCTAATGCATTCGGATAAACATCGGTTCATTTGAACTACGAGATATGCGAGTTACCAAGGCTGTGTTCCGATTGATTTCTCAGCGGGCTGCACGAGCGGTACACATGAAGAACAATTGCCCGCTCCTTAAGCAGTCATAAGGTGGTATTTTAATATAAGGTGAGATAAGTAGCGGTGTGTAAATCATGAAGACGTCAAGAATGTAAATTACTGCTCTTTGAGTGACCACGAGGACTGGTTCCATTTAAGAAAGGTTACATTATAACGAAAGTTAAGGTACTTATCTTGGAGTTGATACTGCTCCATATTTTAGAAATGTCCCATGGTAACGAAAGTTAAGGTACTATCTTGGAGTTGATACTGCTCCATATTAAAGAAATGTTCCATGATAACGAGGGCGGTCGGGTAGCCTTGTTGTTAAAGCGTTCGCTCGTCACGCAGAAGACCCGGGTTCGATTCCCGACATGGGTACAATGTGTGAAGCCCTTTTCGGGTGTCCCCGCCCTGATATTGCTGGAATATTCCTCACTAACACTCCATGGTAACGAAAATTAAGGCTCTTATCCTTGTGTTAATACTGCTCCATCAATAATTAAAATAAAAGCGACAGTCCCCTTTCCATATTCATGCGAAGTCTCTGCCAAAAGCAGAGTCGATTGTACAATTCCGACTTTATCATAAACATGTGTTTATAAATCACTATCAAATGGTTATGATACCAGGTTTTCGCGAAAAGATGAGCGCAAGAAATGTCCCATGGTAACGAGTGAGTGAGTATGGTTTTACGCCGCTTTTAGCAATATTCCAGCAATATCAGGGCGGGGGACACCGGAAATGGGCTTCACACATTGTACCCATGTCGGGAATCGAACCCAGGTCTTCGGCGTGACGAGCGAACGCTTTAACCACTAGGCTACCCGACCGCCCCCCATGGTAACGAAAGTTAAGGTACTATCTTTGTGTTCATACGGATCCACAACTGTGTCAGATTTAAACATATGACTGAAATTGGCAGATATAAAATGCATCATACCATTTAAGGCTGTGTCATTACTGTAACATAGTGTCATTGAAGATGAACTTCATGTTTTGTTTGTTTGTAAGAAGTAATTACTTGATTAAGGTCCTTAAACAAGGAACCCTACTGCACCTCACACTTTACAAACCTAACGAAGTCAGAGAAATGTGAATTATTCATCATATAAGCTTGTTTCAACAGCGTTAAAATAAGAAATTGTGGCATTTTTCTCTTTGAGAGTTAACCTATTGTAATATTCTCAAGGAGGTAAAGTTTTGCATTATTGTACTTTGGACCAGTGGCCATATACTGAAAAAACTGGCGTCTATCTCTCAGAAATTGAAGGTGGATAAAATACAAGTAACCGAATGGATCATACTTCGTTGTCAGATCGTATCAATGATACCTGATTGATTTAAAACCTCTTACAAACAGATATTAAGAAAAGTAATTACAACAGATACACAACCAGGAGACGAAATGGAAGGTTACCTTTATGTACAGGGATACCCTTCTGTGACGTCATGGCCCTTTATGGTACCTAGGGCAAGTCGCAAACCGAGCCAGAGTCTCGAACCAACACGTCCTGTCGTTTCAGGAAGCCAAACTCTCACATCTCTAAATGTCTCCCGCGTCAGCCTACACAACAGGAAGTGTGTCAGGGGAATTGATGTCATATTCTATTACACACAGAGATATGAAGCAGAGTACAAAATCCAATAGCAAAAGATCAATATCATATTTAATTCACATAGAATCGAAGTCAGCCCTGTATTAAGTCAACCATATACAAGTGAGTTCAATAGCTACAGAATCCTCGTGTTTGTATTAAACAACAGACAAATATTCCGTGAATAGATTCCGAGAGGGGAAGGACTTGGCATTGGTGGCTGAAACAATCCAATATCCAATATAGGCTGAAATACTAATGGGTTTCAAATTCAATTGAAAAATAAATTCTGTGAATTGTGAATCAATTCCGGAGCCAAGAATGGTTATACAATTTATATAACCGTTATTTTATATTTTACGCTAAGAAAAATCGTTTCCGTAGATAATCGAATCAGATTAGTTTCTGGCGTTGAGGTTTTACATGAGCATTATAGATTAAATAAAAAACGAAACCCAGTCAACCAATTTACCTCATCCCTAGCAACGAGTGAGTGAGTCAATTAATTTACTTCATCCCTAGCAACCAAAGTGTAAGTGAATGGTGTTTAAGGCCGCGGTCAGCAATATTTGAGGTATATCATGGCGACATTTATATAATCAGATTAAACCTGGTAACAGAAAGCATGTACGAATTACAGGGCGGTCGGGTAGCCTAGTGTTTAAAGCGTTCGCTCGTCACGCCTTAGACCCGGGTTCGATTCCCCACATGGGAACAATGTGTAAAGCCCATCCCAGGTGTAGCCCGCAGAAACAGTGCTCACTCACAAAAACAACGATGCAAATTGTCTGGGTACGATGACATACCATCAGCTAGATCATACATTGTGACAATCCGCTTCTCATTTCAGTCGGGCCGCCCACTTGGTCTAGTGGTACAGCGTCCGTCCGGAGAGCGGAGGGTACGGGGTTCGATCCCCTGCCCATATCAAAAGATGGTACTTGTTGTACCCCTGTCTGGCGCTCGGCATTGAGGAGATAAAACAAGGACTGGTCGGCTCGGAGTCAGTATACTGTGTCTGAGTGGGGTATTCATGTTAAACTGCGGCATGGTATCTCAGGGGGCTAGCACTATAAAATCGGCATCAGTCTGGACTAGTACAAGCAGCTACAAACACACACACACACACACACACACACACACACACACACACACACTATGATCTTTAACGTGACGTTAAACCTAACTTCACCTCGCCTCACCTCAGATGTTTCAATTGTTTTGTCTTGTGCTTAGTCTCTGACGGTCAGAGATTCAGTCATGGTTACGACTCGCTGGGCCTGCTTCAAAGCGACGTAAACTCTCATGAGAGAAGAGGAACCCGGAGCGTTTCTGAAGAGGAGTCAGAAGCCGTGAAACCCAGCGTGGTGAAACGCGTGTCATGCCCAGCTGATTCCACAAATTATTCTCTTATAAGACATGCCAACTGTATTGCACATGTGACACCTGGCGAGTCATCCGTAACCAGTGTATTGTATCAACATTTTCCTTAGTGATGGCAGTTGAAGGTCTGATCTTGAAACTTCACCACATGAACTCCTGGGCGGTCGGGTAGCCTAGTGGTTAAAGCGTTCGCTCGTCACGCCAAAGACCAGGTTTCGACTCCCGACATGGGTACAATGTGTGAAGCCCATTTCTGGTGTTTCCCGCCGTGATATTGCTGGAATATTGCTAAAAAGCGGCGTTAAACCATACTCACTCACTCCACCTCTTCACAGTGACAAAGGAAGGACCATCATCCTCTTAAGTTGTCACCATGTCCGCAAGCTGTTACAGTTAACCCTTTCAATTAAATACTTGATGAAATTGTGGTAGCCAATTTTGTTCATTGTCCTCACCTGGGAATACCTAGTCACGTTGATGCCTGCAGGAATGTGCTTCCTGGTTCTGTACTTGGTCTAACTCAGTATGTAAGCATGGGCAGTGTTGTGCTTAACATATGCAAACATTTAAGGGCGTACTATACATCCTACGTACGTTTCGGTCAGCTCTCGTATCCCCAGGGTCGGTGGAGTGGCCTTGTGGTTAAAGCGTTAGCTCGTCACGCCGAAGGGTTCGATTCTCCGCATAGGTACAATGTGTGAACCCAATGAAGACCGTGTTGCCAAAACATAACCTTCAAATCGAATTTGTATCACGAGCAAAAAATAATCTATACTGAGTTAGAGATACAAAAGATGGCGATAGTGGCGTGGCTTTTGAAACGGGGCTATGTTGGCGAGTGAGTGAATGAGTGAGTTGGGTTTAACGCCGCTTTTAACAGTATTACAGTTATATCGCGGCGTGTCAGCTTAATGTGGGAGGAAAGCCCGAAGTCATGTAGGTCTCAGACGTTTACCACTTCGGTAAAACCCACGAGCATGGGTAAGGTGCTGACAAACCTAGAAACATAATCGGGGCGAACCGGGATTCGAACCCACAACTATAGGTTTCTGGCGTGCCCAAGGGATGCAACTCTGCACAGCGAATCGCATCGCCTTAGAAGACTGGGCCACCAATGCCCCTCTATGTTGGCGAATAAGTCCAGGGTATTATCATAATAGAACGGACATACCCTGGATAAATCGAGGATGTTCTTGACGGGGTTAAAATACCGTGCCATCCCACCAACAACAACCTTAAGCATATTGGACACAATATGATCCTTCCATGACGTAGAAGGATCAAATCCTTGGAGACATATCTCAGAAGACGGCATCAGAGTGGATTGTTATGCCTGAAGTAACACGGAGCACATGGCAC